GGGGGGGACCTGCTCTGCACCAGCACTTAAACAATGCTTGGGAAACCCCCAAAATGTATTCCTCTGGGGGGTGAGCTGCTACTAGGAACTATTAATTCATTGCAAGTTAAAAATCTTAAAATGTATGAAACATAGGGGGGACCAGGTCATTTACTGCAGTAACCTGGATAAGATGAGACAAAATCAAATGTATAAAATATAGGGGGGACTAGGTGGTTTCTGTAAATCACTGGAAATATATGAAAGTAAGGGGGGACTATGTTGTTTCAACCTCAAAAGCGGACGATTTCCTTCGATTGATTTCCACGATTTCTTTCGATATCTGGCCACAGAATGAATGGGTCCAAAGCAATTTCCAGTCGTTCTCTTTGCTAAGGCCGCAAACTATTGCAAACTCACGAAATTTCGATGCTTTAAAAACAGGACAGCTGCACACGGCTGCTAATTTCTTTTCACGATGCTTTGAAGTTTGTTGCATTTAATTTTCGAAGGAAAGATGCAGAATCATTTGGAAGCAACAAGAAGTATTTGAACATTGAAACTTCCACTCTGTTCTGAACCTGTCTGCCATTCTCATCAATTTTCCCGACCTGGCTTGACAAGCCCCATTCTCGATTCTCGATCCTCGATCCTCGCTTCTCGATTCCCGATTCTCGATTCTCAATTCTCCATTCTCGATTCTCAATTCTCGATCCAGTATCCTCGATCCTCGCTTCCCGCTTCTTGATTCTCGATCCTCGATATTCGAACCTCGCTTCACGGTTCTCGATAGGCATGGAGGGCCCTCTGGCTCATACACTTGTAAGATATCGTGGGACTTTGTCAGAATCTTGGAAAACACTGCCCTGCTCCCAGTAATGTATGGCTGCACTGATGTGCAGGTTCCCCCCCCCTTTCATACATTTTATTCCCATGCTCTGGGGTCTGTTGGCATGTGCTGCCCTTCTCCATACTGATGAATACTATTGGAACCACCTGGAACTCCTAGGATTCTCCTGGATGTGCCCCACCCCCAGTACCTGAAATGTATGGCTGCACTGGTGTGCAGGTCCCCCCCCCCTTTCATACATTTTATTCCCATGCTCTGGGCTGTGTTGGCATGCGTTGCCATTCTCCATACTGGTGGATACTATTGGAACCACCTGGAACTCCTAGGATTCTCCTGGATGTGCCCCACCCCCAGTACCTGAAATGTATGGCTGCACTGGTGTGCAGGTCCCCCCCCTTTTCATACATTTTATTCCCATGCCCTGGGGTGTGTTGGCATGCGTTGCCATTCTCCCTACTACTAAAAACTATTGGAACCACCTGGAACTCCTAGGATTCTCCTGGATGTGCCCCACTGGTGTGCCGGTCACCCCTCCCCTTTCATACATTTTATTCCCATGCTCTGGGCTGTGTTGGCATGCGTTGCCATTCTCCCGACTACTGGAAACTATTGGAACCACCCGGAACTCCTAGGATTCTCCTGGATGTGCCCCACCCCCAGTACCTGAAATGTATGGCTGCACTGGTGTGCAGGTCCCCCCCCCTTTCATATATTTTATTCCCATGCTCTGGGCTGTGTTGGCATGCGTTGCTATTCTCCCTACTACTGGAAACTATTGGAACCACCTGGAACTCCTAGGATTCTCCTGGATGTGCCCCACCCCCAGTACCTGAAATGTATGGCTGCACTGGTGTGCAGGTCCCCCCCCCTTTCATACATTTTTTCCCATGCTCTGGGCTGTGTTGGCATGCGTTGCCATTCTCCCTACTACTGGAAACTATTGGAACCACCTGGTTCTCCTGGATGTGCCCCACCCCGAGTACCTGAAATGTATGGTTGCACTGGTGTGCAGGTCCCCCCCCCTTGCTCTGGGCTGTGCTGGCATGCGTTGCCATTCTCCCTACTACTGGAAACTATTGGAACCACCTGTAACTCCTAGGATTCTCCTGGATGTGCCCCACCCCCAGTACCTGAAATGTATGGCTGCACTGGTGTGCAGGTCCCCCCCCCTTTCATACATTTTATTCCCATGCTCTGGGCTGTGTTGGCATGTGTTGCCATTCTCCCTACTACTGGAAACTATTGGAACCACCTGGAACTCCTAGGATTCTCCTGGATGTGCCCCACCCCCAGTACCAGAAATGTATGGCTGCACTGATGTGCAGGTACAAACAGAAAACCCGCAGTTGGTGTTGGGGAGTTGATAGCTGGGGTCGGAGGATATTGAGAACTATGGGCTGGTGAAGAAAGGTGAATCTCTGCAGTACCCTGTGAGTAAGACTGTTGAAAGCATCTGACACCATAAGACTTTGGAACTCAATGTTTGATAAAAATAAAACAGAAGTTGAAAGAGCTATACGGAATGGGCAGGGTTGGATTAGATCAACACACTTCAACCATCTTCAACCCAAGGCTCAACCTAAAAACATCCTTTCGGTACCGTGCAATCCTGAAAAAAATGTTAGAAAAAGGCACCCTAACAATAGATAAGAATCAGAAACAACTACTGCATACTATTGCATTTAGTACATTTAGGCTTCTCAAGACAACCTTCATGTATAATGAATGTGCGGCATGGAACTGCTGCTGACCCCCCAGGTGCATACATTCATGATACTTCATCTGCGCCCCCCCCCCTTCCAAATTTCGCACCCCCCCTCCAAACTTGGGAATTATTAATGTATTAACCCAGGGGGGGTAGGTGGCCTCCCATAATTTGGCAAACTTAGATTTCAGGGGGGGGGGGGTCAAAAGCGTCATGCTATTTCGTAAGATTCCCCAGGAAAACTCCATGAGCATCAAAGATCCATGGCCTTGCAAAATCAATGTATGAAACCGCCTCCCCACCTTTTTCTAAACAAGCTTTTGAAGCCAAATACTGAAAATGTATGAGGAACACTCCCCACCTCTTTAGGTAATCTCTTAATTTTACGAAAACTAGTTCATACAAAAATACCCGTTTCAGAGGTGGGGGGGGCCCTGGAAATGTATGAGAATTCCCGGCTCCCCCCCCCTCAATATACATTTTAAGGGGTGGGGGATGTCAAAAATTCACTTTGGGATGGAGCACAGATATCCACAGATCTTTTTCCCCACATTGACGTGTGGGGTTTTTGTTTTTAGTGCTGTATCCGCTCCTCCTTCCTCCCGCCTGTCCTCCCACTCACACACACACACCTCACTCGTCCAGCATCACTCACACACACATCCCAATCACACACGCACACACACACACACACCACACACTCACGCACATCACACTCACACATACATCGCACACACACACACACATCACTTTTTTTTTACACATCCCACACATACATCACACATGCACACACACACACACACACTCACTCGCACACATATCCCACACACACGGGACTTGGTGCACTGCAAAGGGGTCGGAAGTACGCCCTGGCGTCCCTCCGGTGTCCCTCACTTACACACACACATCCCACACACACCTCACACTCACACACACAATCACAAACGTACATCCCAATCACACACACACACACACATCATCACACTCACACACGCATACATCCCAATCACACACACACACACCACACACTCACACACATATCACCCTTGGTCTCCGCCGCTCTGCCGGTGCCTTTTGCGTGGCAGGCGCGGGACTTGGTGTCCTTTGGTCTCCGCCGCTCTGCCGGTGGCTTTTGCGTGGCAGGCGTGGGACTTGGTGCACTGCAAAGGGGTCGGATGTACGCCCTGGCGTCCCTCCGGTGTCCCTCCGGTGTCCCTCCGGTGTCCCTCCGGTGTCCCTCCAGCGCCCCTCCGGTGTCCCTCCGGCGCCCCTCCGGTGTCCCTCCGGTGTCCCTCCGGTGTCCATCCGGTGTCCCTCCGGTGTCCCTCCGGTGTCCCTCCGGTGTCCCTCCGGTGTCCCTCCGGTGTCCCTCCGGTGTCCCTCCGGTGTCCCTTGGTCTCCGCCGCTCTGCCGGTGGCTTTCGGATGTACGCCCTGGCGTCCCTCCGCATCACTCACACACACACACATCCCAATCACACACACACACACACCACACACTCACACACATCTCACTCACACATACACCACACACACACACACACTCACACACACACACACATCACTCACACACACATCCCACACACACCTCACACTCACATACATCCCAATTATACACACCACACAGCTTGTGAGCTTATGATTGCTTGTGAGCTTATCATGGCTTGTCTATTCATTGTGTCTGCTCAGGTCATGATGCTGGTCTATGGCACTTGAACAACCGATATGCCTAGAAGCAAAAAAATCTGCAAAGCGACGGGAGGATTATATGAACTGAAACATACATCATCGGATTCTTGTGTATATGCCGCGAACATATCACTATATCACCATATGACCATACACACGCACAACCACGCACTCACGTACACACACACTATGCACACAAACACGCACAACATGAACACAGCACATATACTTCATCACAACATCACATACCAAAACATCACTTGACGCATCATAACTTCACGTCACATGCAACAAGATCAGTATATTTATGTTTGCATACATTTACATTACTGCCACCCAATCTCACATCACACGAAAATAATATCACCTCACACACACACATTCACATACGTATAGCATCCGCATGTACATCACGTATATTACAAACTGCCTCTTACACCCGGTACACATATCGTTAACACACTACCAAAGTGACACACCTGTACATGCACATACATACATACATACATACATACATACATACATACATACATACATACATACATACATACATACATACATACATACATACATACATACATACATACATACATACATACATACATACATACATACATACATACATACATACATACATACTACATACATACATACATACATACATACATACATACATACATACATACATACATACATAATACATACATTACATACCATACATACATACATACATACATACATCAAACTCACCCACCACCACCCCTCCATCACTCTCATACTTCCTCTTCCCTTGTTGCTTTTCTATGCTCAGTCTAAGTCTGGAGAAGTTGTTAACATGTGGGGTTTTCCGGTCCTATAATTCTCTGTTTTTGAATCACATTAGTCACATGTTGAAGCCTGGCCAAAGAGTCGGCCGTCAAGTTGAGCTGTTTGTTGTAAAGCCAGGTAGGGTGACCCACAGGAAGTTGCATGAGTGCTCAAAGAATGGGGATATGAGGATACACCGTGGATTCATAAATAAACTAAACATATGACATGACGCGGCTTGCCACAGAGCTCGCCAGCTGACACATGATTTGTGGGGGGGGGCTGGGCCGTTGGCTCGCCTTCAGTCTGTGACTGAACAAGTGATGTATGCTCACCAAAATGGGGCAGTATCCAACCAAAATGGTGGAATATCCAACCAAATGAATCCAAATGATGAATGAATGAACAATTGAGATCATCCAAACCCGTTCAGTTTCCCAACTTCTCTTGGTTTAAATGCAAACTCCTACTGCATATGCGAAAACAACTGAAAACAAGAGTTGATTTCGTGGTATATATAAATGTTTCAAAAACTCTTATCGCATGTTTCTCTTTAAAAAAAACGTTTGCTCAACTCAAAACCCAAACTTTTGCTGGTGCAAAACCCGTCGATTGATGCTTCGGATTCACCGCTTGCGGTATAGCTGGGCCGTCCCCACGACACGTACGTGCATCACCAATCCGGGCAAGCATCGATTGCAGCCTGTGCCGTTGAAGTGAGTCATGTATCATCTCTGTGCTGCATGTCTCTGTGCTGCTGCAAACTCGACCAGGAACCATCATGGCTAAGCTTGGGTGCCTTGCGAACATCTTTGATTCTGAAATGGTCGGGTGGTATTCCAACCTTTTCTGGCTACAACTTCACACTTAACACAGATTGATCTTCCCATGAAGTTCCCAAGGTTGACCCAGCAACCAAACGGGAAAAGTCTAGGTGACCCACGGTACGTGCGTTCCGCCACTTTCGCTTCGCGGATGGAGTTTTTGGACTTGGCAGCAGAGTGAGTGCCAACAAACAAGCAAACATGGCGTATGAACATGCCACGCACACACACACATGTATATACCTAGTTTTTTCCCACAAACATCAACAAACCAGGCCCCTGGCGGAGAACTGCGGATCAACCGACCTCAGGATTGATTTACCATAGGCCCAAGACGACTGAAAACCATCAAAATCACCAAACATACGTGTTTTTGTTTTCAACTACGTTATTTTATTGGTCGATCTTGGTCACTTGGCGGCTTCTTTATTAAATACAATAGTAGCAAAAAATCATTTGATTTTTGGGAGGCTGCGTTTTTTTTTTAAATATTATGCTTGATAAACATGATCCTGAGACCTGAGAAAGATTCAATGCTATTCTTGATGGTTTCCAAACGCATTCATTAAACTATATAGATTTCACTACCAATGAGCGGCCACGAGCGCATGTCTGCAAAATGTCAACCCATCTTACCCCGGGATCTTCTGAAGAGAGTGCAGGAAAAGTAGCATTTGGGAACTGGGGATTGGAAACCAACTGATTGGGGGTCACTACCTTGTACTGAGGCAGCGGGCCACTGAATCACCCACTCTTTGACGGGAGAGCCGTTGCCAGGAATATCGTCCTGAGAACGAACCCCTTGCAACAAAACACATCACCGGCTGGCCTATGGGAACAAATGCTGGGAATTCGGTGACGTCTTTAATTTTTGTCTCTTAAAATATATGGTCACAGCCTCTACTTGAATGAACCTTACAGGTTGTGACCTCGAATATGTCACGCCGGACTCCTTCACAAGGTTCCTGTCTATACGTGTGACTTCTGCTTGGTCAACCTTGTAAATTGAAATTATGAACCGCAAACTGGCAAACTTAGAACATTTAAACAAACCCTCCGCACACTCATCTCTATTCGCCAGGGGTATGGGCTTTGACCCATCCCTGAGGATCTCGCCCAGGTCGCAGTGAAATTGTACGCATCTGGCTCCTACAAGGAAGAATTCAAACGCCGTCGGGGCCACTAACCTCCAACCTGCCATAGTGCAAAAATCAATAACTTGATTAAGAGGAACTGCCATGAACTGCCATGACTGTTATATAATGTTATATACATGAAACCCAAGAGTTTTATTTCGTGTTCCTACCTGTGTTCACCATCAAGTACTGGGTCCCGTTCATTTCCTCTTACTGTAAACCAATTCTGGGACACCGTAGAGCTACGGCTTTAGGGTTCATGGTCGGATCCTCGTTTTGCTGGTTTCAACACATCCAAACATATGAATGTGTTAAGATAGTCATTCCGGAGAAGCAGGGTTGACAATCAGAAAAATACACACCAATCCCTGTATATCAATGCAGTACATTGATAGGTTGTAGTTGCCTCGTTGTCAAAGTTGTGATCGAAAGGTTCATTTTCATGTTGATCATTGTTGGGTTTCATCCAGGAGAACCTGCGGAAAAACAAAAATTCGACACAGTTGTTTTGCTACTGGGTGATGGATCAACATCGGGGTACCCCGCACCAAAAAAAAACTACTGAAATGTTTCGAATAAACCTGTGGGCCTTGGGGTCTTCTAATTTTGACCCGCGCCCAGTTCTAAGTGAAATCACACGGCCACATTGCATGCAGCAAATCAGATTTCCCCTTCTATCTTCCTGCAGGTTCCTTTTGGTAACTCTAACTGGTTTCAACCGCTCAAAACCAAAAAAATTGGGTTCTCATTTCAAATGCGTAGTGTTTGGATAAGTATATATGATAATATGCAGTACATCTGATTTTTTTTGTTACCTTCAATATCCCCATGATGCGGTAGTGAATGCAATAAAAGTAGAACAAAAGGCAAAATTATAGACATGATTATAATGATTATATTATATCATATTGAAAGAAAATATACATATATAGCTATATACGCATATATGGTGCAAATATATTGAAACATATTAATAATAATAAAAAAAAACTTCAAACACCCAGAAATGAATGTGTGTAAGCATCAAACGCTCCCTGCCGGGTGAAGAAACAAATAACTCTGTGTGCAACACATCCTCCCCAGCTCTGTTTGTTCATCGGTTGTGAACAAATCCAAAGTAGAGGGCATTAAATCCCTGGTTGCATAAATATTTCCCACGTTTTGCAAACAAAATGGGTTCCCATCATTTCTTTTCCATACATAGTTTTTGGGTAGCACGCTTCAAGCTTAGTTGGTTCTCACCTTGCTGTGGGCACAATAGCGCGCAACCTGAACATTTTCAAACTGTATGTTCAAATGCTTAAAAATGCTTAAAACATGTTTCGATATGTATCACTTGTGGCAATTTGCGGAAAACCGTTCCAATTGTTCAAACAATTGTTCGACATCATGGTCATGTTCCAAGTTTTTTGAACAAAAACATCAATTGTGGAAACTGTTTGACAAATTTTCCGAACCATGAACCAATTCAACCATGTAAGAAACAATTGCTGGTTGATTCTTTTGAACAATTGTTACGTCAAGTGTGGAAACAATTCCTACATGTTTACTAAATGGCCCCCTTTTGAAAACGTTCAATGTCGATACGCAAATTCTAAATGTAATTATATATATATACATAATATATATATATATTATATTAAGAACAAAGTACAATATGAATCAATATGATATGGAACCATGACCAGCAGAGCGACCCAGGATCTTCTGGAACCCGTCCATGAGACGTGGGGGCGTCGTGGGAGCCTCGGGCCTCAATTTCTGTCCGAGAAGACAGGATGCAAAAGGGCCAAATTGGGTAAATATCATTAAGTATCAAGCTATTTCGCTATTTGGCTATGATGACTTGGAGCAACCCTGTTTAAGGTGGACCGCTTGGAGCATGTACATAGTTAGGGGATGTTAGGGGTCAATGGTGGCAAGTTGAATGGGGAAATGATATACTAATACTATGATATACTAGTATGATAATCCTTTGGAATTGATATTGCCTTATTTTCCAGCAACTCCAACATAAAGATACAAAAAAACATCTAGCAATCATGGGAAAAACAAATCAATTGATCAGCCACGTATAGTAGTATGGAATATATATTATATTAGGATTTGGGTCCTATGCCTCAAGAGTAATCCTGGATAATCCAGATTCTGATTCAGAATCAACAGCGTTAATTGTAGATAGCCTTCAAAGAAATATATTAAGAGAGCAACTCAGTAAGTTTCCATCTAAGGTTTACACAGCGAAACGGAAGAATCCAACCAGTCAGCACTTGTAGGTATTTGGCATCAGTTGCCCACAATTCGTCTGATCTTGTTTGATCTTGAACATTAACTTTATGTTGATGAGAGGTTTGGAAACCTTTGTTGCTGGATGCTGCTGGCTTGCTATTTCAGGTTCGAATCGACCCATGCCATTCCATATCGAAATCCGATGTTATATATATATATAATATGTGTGTGTATGTTGAATTCCAATGTCTTTCTTTGCTAAAACATGTTCCTCTTAGCCAGGTGAAATGCTGCAGTTCTAAGTGGTGGCCAAATCTGAATTCATTCAGTCGAACAATCTAGAAGCAATATCAACATACAGTACTGATGTGATTCACATCAGGATACATTAAACATGTTCCGAACCATATTGATTGAATAAACCAGATTTTTGTTGCTTATATAAATACGAATTTGTGGTGTTTTGATCCAAATCTGTGTCACATTCATGCTCTTTAGGTCGTCTCTATTCAATCATATGAGGTTCAAAATGGTTCAAACATGCTTATTGTTGTCCTGCATGCTTTAAGTCATCCCAATTTCTTTTAGATGATGCTTTACCTGATTTACCTACTAAACATGGGGGATATATGGGGATATTCCATGGATTTGGTCCATAGCTATGTTGAATAACCACGTTGGCCGCCCCTGGATCTCTCGCTCAGCTTCCCCGGGGCCCCGGCGCGAAGGGATGTGTCTCCAACTCGTCGGACCACTCGGACCACTCGGAGGAGCCGATCTCGTTCACGGCGAAGGCCTCTCCGAACAGTTCCGGTGTAGGAAACCATGGGGAACTGGGGGTATAGTAAAAATATATATATCTATTTATATACTGTATATATATATATAATCAACATATAACATCATAAAGTTCTGATTAATGATCTAAATGGTTTCTTGTAAATTTGGGGGTGATAACTTGATATAGGCAAAAATGTGATGATTCAATCGGCTTTTTAAGAGGATAACATATTAGTCAAGATGGTGCAGTGGTGCCCCCCCATCTACCACAAGCCATGTTAGCCCGCCTCGAGAGATGACGGGGAATCGCTTCAGGGTTTCGATTTGTTTGAACTGGTAGAGGGAGTTATATATGTTGTATATATGCATATGATATTTATGTGTGTGCACATGCAGCAAAACACAATGATTAAAAATTAGAAAACGTACGCCGTATGTTGTTTTGAAAATTGTTCAATGCGTGACTATCTGTTAATATGCACAATAGGCACACATAAGCAAACATGAAAAAATACAAATGATAATACCCCTTTAGCAGGTAAAAACATGCCTAAATATTAGCCATCATTCAGAGGAGCGAACCGCTCTGCGCGCCCACTAAGATTAACGCACACCCCTATCCATGGTTTTAGTTTTCAAAAAAACATTGCTGTTCTTTATATCTTTTAATATCTTTTAATTACCTTTCTCTGATGTGATTTTTTTGGGGCATTTCAAATCAAGGTGCCCCAACCGATTGCCCATTTCATCGCCATGGGTCGAAGTGGCGAACGCAGCATTTAATGGCAGGTGGCAGGAACGGTACTTTTATAGGTCTCTTAAAATGCTGTGGAAGTTGAAAAGGGGTTCAAAAAGAACAATTTAGGACACCTAATTTTTGACTCAATTTGTCGTGGAAGGCTTCAGCACTACCTAAACAATCCAAAAAAGTACCTAAGAGATCCTGAGAGTATGAAAAAAATAAAGCAGGTTTCAGAAATAAAACATGTCCCTACATGAGGGTACTGGGTTTTAGCATTTTCTAGTTGGCCCCAAGCTTAAATAGAGGGATAATATTTGCCAACCCCAATCCATGTTTCACCCCACCCAAGAGTCATCATAAGTAGCTAAAGAAAAACTCGATTCTTACCACCTCTACATGTAAAATGGCCAGTTCTTTTATAGGCATAGGTGTCCTAAAATGCTGCGAAAAGGGGTTCAAAAAGACAAATTAGGACACCTCATTTTTGACTCAATTTTTCGTGGAAGGTTTTAGCACTACCGGAACAATCCCTCAGAGCACATGAGAGTATGAAAAAGGGAAAACATGGTTCAGAAATAAAAATCACCAAAATGAAAATGACATGCAGGATCATTATCCTTGTGTATTGTAACCATTATCGCTATTGTAATTTTGGGAGTGCTGCACCTGACCTGACATCTGGAGCACATAAAAAGGAAGGACATTGATCGGTGCGGCGTTCAGCAACATTGTGAGCTGCCAAGATTTCTGTCAAAAATCATTTCCTTCCAGCCAATCTGGTGTAAGTCAAACCTTGCAAAATATCGCAATATATCATCAAATTCACTGCATGGTGATTCAGAACCATCATAGAAGATGGAACATATGGAATGTTTTATTATGTTTTTCACTGAACGATTGGGTGTGTTATGTCATTTTTTTCCTATTGGTCAAGGTGCAACATGTATAAAAACATATAAAAACAATGTTTATCGTACCATGTTTTATCCTGTCCCCTAACACCCCTCTTCAAATTTATTTTGCATATTGCCAAGATCCTAAAAAACAAATCCATGTTCCTCAACCTATAGCACTATCTATATACATTATCTTATATGTAGATTGCAATTTATATTGCTATCTATATTTCAAGAGTTATCCATGTGATATGATATACCTTTGACATGTGCAAATTTAATTGAAAAAACAACCAGTGGACCTACAGGATGATTTTTTTGGTAGAACGAAAGCTTATAATGATATAATGATAGCAACGCACATATGAATGAAATTGAATAAATATACACATAAGCACCCAAGCACAAGGCACCCAAGCACAAGGCCAATGAATCATGATTTGATTGCATACCTCCCAAATCCCTAGCCGATAGGCCCATCCCCTATTCGCACATCCCCGCGAAAGCTGGAGAAATGCCGCCGGCGCACCCTAAACTTGTAGATTCGGCCAGGGCCTCAATTGCTATTGGCAATGATGAGAGGCTACCCGGATATGAGAATTATGACGATGAGGCAACCCCATTTTTATGGCCATTTAATGCGGCATGTAACTGCTAAATGTTACAATGATTAAGCAATGGGTTTGGGTATATGCCGCCTCTAGAACAAGCCCAGACCATTCGATTCATCAAAATGTTGTTGCAGAATTTGAACCATTCGGCGAATGAACCGACATGAATTGGCATGGTCCGGCACTGCACGGCATGATGGCGCACAGCTAATGACCAAAGGTTTGGATGTCAAGAAAGGCACGTTGAAAGATATTGAAAGCCTGGGAAAAAGATGAAAAAAGCGGATTTGTTTGGAGGAGAGTAAGCGTCAAGCTGGCCAAGCACACCACTGCCCAGTGCTCCGTATTTTCATTCTCGGCGGTGCACCTTCAACTAAGAAAGAAAAAATCCTCTGCGGACCCCACATCTCAGACCCAACGTGCCTACTTGAAATTGGAGAGATCCTTCCACTCAGCAAGAATCTTGGTGGCCGCAGTGTAGTCCTCAGCTGCGCGGGCCCACTGCTTGTTCTGGCCATCAACGCCCAGGGTGCCAACCTTCTGAGCAAACTGACGGGCCTTTTCAAAGGCCTTGGAGCCCTCCTCACCAGAGAAGTAGTACATATCTTCCTTCAAGGATCCACCAGCTTCTAGGAGGTTGGCCTTCAGGTTCTGAGCCTGCTTGGTTGCGATGTACTCTGGGGTGGTCTCGAAACGCTTCAGAGCTGCTTGCAGTGCCTTGGTCTTCCGTGCCACCTCATCCACGTTGCGGGCCTTGTAGACAGTGTCTGCACCCACCTCGCTGAACTGGGAGTAGGGGTTGATGGGGTTGTCATTCTGGGAGTAGGCATCAGACTGGCCACTTCCGAAGCCAAACACGGAGAAGGTTGGCACTTCTGCCATTGCTGGAGCTGATGAGGCGGCAACCATGGCAGCAGCAAGTGCAGCAGCTGCTTCATTGCGCTGCTTTGGTGTCACAAAGGCCTCGCCTGACAACAGCCTCAGGGCCATCAAAGCACCGGCGGCCACAAGAGCCTTGGACAGCGCAGAAGCACGAGCCATTGCGAAGAAACAAACACAAGAGTCCCTATGGTGCTAGATGCAGAGCTCAAAAAAGGTTCCTGGACATGCATTCAAGTTTGTGACATATCTGTTTTTTACACCAATCGGACAATTGCCGACACACAGCTAAAGCTTAACGTGAACTGCCTCCACCACACCACAGGGTAGCAAAGGCACAACTGCAAAAGAATCACAAGAATTCATAGCTTCCCTACTCTCGTACAGTGAGCGCCCCTGTCAAGCACAAATCCTGCAAAATCAAGAGAAACTCCTCTTGCCGCTTGCCTAAACAGTCCTAAACAAGAACCGCTGACTCTGGCTTGGCTGCATTTTGTCTGCTCTCGCGCCGGTCCTTGCCATCAACTTCTAAAAAACAGTGAACAGCTGTTTCTACTATGCCTACTTGAAATTGGAGAGGTCCTTCCACTCAGCAAGAATCTTGGTGGCCGCAGTGTAGTCCTCAGCCGCGCGGGCCCACTGCTTGTTCTGGCCATCAACGCCCAGGGTGCCAACCTTCTGAGCAAACTGACGGGCCTTTTCAAAGGCCTTGGAGCCCTCCTCACCAGAGAAGTAGTACATATCTTCCTTCAAGGATCCACCAGCTTCTAGGAGGTTGGCCTTCAGGTTCTGAGCCTGCTTGGTTGCGATGTACTCTGGGGTGGTCTCGAAACGCTTCAGAGCTGCTTGCAGTGCCTTGGTCTTCCGTGCCACCTCATCCATGTTGCGGGCCTTGTAGACAGTGTCTGCACCCACCTCGCTGAACTGGGAGTAGGGGTTGATGGGGTTGTCATTCTGGGAGTAGGCATCAGACTGGCCACTTCCGAAGCCAAACACGGAGAAGGTTGGCACTTCTGCCATTGCTGGAGCTGATGAGGCGGCAACCATGGCAGCAGCAAGTGCAGCAGCTGCTTCATTGCGCTGCTTTGGTGTCACAAAGGCCTCGCCTGACAATAGCCTCAGGGCCATCAAAGCACCGGCGGCCACAAGAGCCTTGGACAGCGCAGAAGCACGAGCCATCGCAGGACCCAGAAGTTGCAACACTTGGATGGCAATCGCGAGCTCAAAAAATGGCTCCCAGAAATCCATCAGCCAAATCAATCAATTGAAAACAAATTAAATGTGATAAACACTCAACTCCGTGAAACTGTTCAGAACTACACCAACAACTCGCTCACTCAGCGCTCAACTGACCCACGTGCCAGATAGAACAAAACAATACAACACATGCATGCTTTGCTGTTGCGGGCCAGCACGGACCCAAGCTGGTAAAGCAGCATGATGACAATGGTGTGCTACAAACATCCTGGTTGACACAATTTCCTTCCTCAAAACCGACTGCAATTCTATGGTGCGACAAGCACTGGAACAAACAATACTGGAATACAGTATATGTAATTGTGTGTTGGGCATGTCAAAAAAAAACCACGGACTCTGGCTTGGTTCCATTTTGTTTCCTCTCGCGTTGGTACTTGCCATCAACTTCGAAAACTACTGAGCACCTGTTCTACCATGTCTACTTGAAGTTGGAGAGATCCTTCCACTCAGCAAGAATCTTGGTGGCTGCAGTGTAGTCCTCAGCTGCGCGGGCCCACTGCTTGTTCTGGCCATCAACGCCCAGGGTGCCAACCTTCTGAGCAAACTGACGGGCCTTTTCAAAGGCCTTGGAGCCCTCCTCACCAGAGAAGTAGTACATATCTTCCTTCAAGGACCCACCAGCTTCTAGGAGGTTGGCCTTCAGGTTCTGAGCCTGCTTGGTTGCGATGTACTCTGGGGTAGTCTCGAAACGCTTCAGAGCTGCTTGCAGTGCCTTGGTCTTCCTTGCCACCTCATCCATGTTGCGGGCCTTGTAGACAGTGTCTGCACCCACCTCGCTGAACTGGGAGTAGGGGTTGATGGGGTTGTCATTCTGGGAGTAGGCATCAGACTGGCCACTTCCGAAGCCAAACACGGAGAAGGTCGGCACTTCTGCCATTGCTGGAGCTGATGACGCGGCAACCATGGCAGCAGCAAGTGCAGCAGCTGCTTCATTGCGCTGCTTTGGTGTAACAAAGGCCTCGCCTGACAATAGCCTCAGGGCCATCAAAGCACCGGCGGCCACAAGAGCCTTGGACAGCGCAGAAGCACGAGCCATCGCAGGACCCAAAGTTGCAACACTTGGATGGCAATCGCGAGCTCAAAAAATGGCTTCCAGAAATCTACCAGCCAAATCAATCAATTGAAGACAAATTAAATGTGATAAACACTCAACTCTGTGAAACTGCTTAGACCAGAACCACACCAAAAATTCGCCCACTCAGCGCTCAACTGACCCACGTGCCAAATAGAACAAAAACAAAACATGCATGCTGTGCTGTTGCGGGCCAGCACAGGCCCAAGTGCCGTGCTAAAAACATCCTGGTTGACAAAATATCCTTCCTCAAAATCGACTGCAATCCTGTGGTGCGACAAGCCCTGGAACAAACAATACTGGAATACAGTATATGTAATTGTGTATGTTGGGCATGTCACAAAAAGCCACTGACTCTGGCTTGGTTCCATTTTGTTTCCTCTCGCGTTGGTACTTGCCATCAACTTTGAAAACTACTGAGCAGCTGTTCTACTATGCCTACTTGAAGTTGGAGAGATCCTTCCACTCAGCAAGAATCTTGGTGGCCGCAGTGTAGTCCTCAGCTGCGCGGGCCCACTGCTTGTTCTGGCCATCAACGCCCAGGGTGCCAACCTTCTGAGCAAACTGACGCGCCTTTTCAAAGGCCTTGGAGCCCTCCTCACCAGAGAAGTAGTACATATCTTCCTTCAAGGACCCACCAGCTTCTAGGAGGTTGGCCTTCAGGTTCTGAGCCTGCTTGGTTGCGATGTACTCTGGGGTGGTCTCGAAACGCTTCAGAGCTGCTTGCAGTGCCTTGGTCTTCCGTGCCACCTCATCCACGTTGCGGGCCTTGTAGACAGTGTCTGCACCCACCTCGCTGAACTGGGAGTAGGGGTTGATGGGGTTGTCATTCTGGGAGTAGGCATCAGACTGGCCACTTCCGAAGCCAAACACGGAGAAGGTTGGCACTTCTGCCATTGCTGGAGCTGATGAGGCGGCAACCATGGCAGCAGCAAGTGCAGCAGCTGCTTCATTGCGCTGCTTTGGTGTCACAAAGGCCTCGCCTGACAATAGCCTCAGGGCCATCAAAGCACCGGCGGCCACAAGAGCCTTGGACAGCGCAGAAGCACGAGCCATCGCAGGACCCAGAAGTTGCAACACTTGGATGGCAATCGCGAGCTCAAAAAAATATGGCTCTCCTAGCCAGTCTGGTGGACAATATGGACTGGGAGAAGTGAGGGAGAAAAAGTAAGAGAAGAGGGAGTCTGTTTTGTTATTCCCCTCCTAGCTAGCCTAGAAATCCATCAGCCCCCCAAATCAATCAATTGAAGACAAATTAAATGTGATAAACACTCAACTCTGTGAAACTGCTTAGACCAGAACCACACCAAAAATTCGCCCACTCAGCGCTCAACTGACCCACGTGCCAAATAGAACAAAAACAAAACATGCATGCTGTGCTGTTGCGGGCCAGCACAGGCCCAAGTGCCGTGCTAAAAACATCCTGGTTGACAAAATATCCTTCCTCAAAATCGACTGCAATCCTGTGGTGCGACAAGCCCTGGAACAAACAATACTGGAATACAGTATATGTAATTGTGTATGTTGGGCATGTCACAAAAAGCCACTGACTCTGGCTTGGCTGCATTTTGTCTGCTCTCGAGCCGGTCCTTGCCATCAACTTCTAAAAAACAGTGAACAGCTGTTTCTACTATGCCTACTTGAAATTGGAGAGGTCCTTCCACTCAGCAAGAATCTTGGTGGCCGCAGTGTAGTCCTCAGCCGCGCGGGCCCACTGCTTGTTCTGGCCATCAACGCCCAGGGTGCCAACCTTCTGAGCAAACTGACGGGCCTTTTCAAAGGCCTTGGAGCCCTCCTCACCAGAGAAGTAGTACATATCTTCCTTCAAGGATCCACCAGCTTCTAGGAGGTTGGCCTTCAGGTTCTGAGCCTGCTTGGTTGCGATGTACTCTGGGGTGGTCTCGAAACGCTTCAGAGCTGCTTGCAGTGCCTTGGTCTTCCGTGCCACCTCATCCATGTTGCGGGCCTTGTAGACAGTGTCTGCACCCACCTCGCTGAACTGGGAGTAGGGGTTGATGGGGTTGTCATTCTGGGAGTAGGCATCAGACTGGCCACTTCCGAAGCCAAACACGGAGAAGGTCGGCACTTCTGCCATTGCTGGAGCTGATGAGGCGGCAACCATGGCAGCAGCAAGTGCAGCAGCTGCTTCATTGCGCTGCTTTGGTGTCACAAAGGCCTCGCCTGACAACAGCCTCAGGGCCATCAAAGCACCGGCGGCCACAAGAGCCTTGGACAGCGCAGAAGCACGAGCCATCGCAGGACCCAAAAGTTGCAACACTTGGATGGCAATCGCGAGCTCAAAAAATGGCTCCCAGAAATACATCAGCCAAATCAATCAATTGAAAACAAATTAAATGTGATAAACACTCAACTCCGTGAAACTGTTCAGAACTACACCAAAAACTCGCTCACTCAGCGCTCAACTGACCCACGTGCCAAATAGAACAAAAACAAAACATGCATGCTGTGCTGTTGCGGGCCAGCACAGGCCCAAGTGCCGTGCTAAAAACATCCTGGTTGACAAAATATCCTTCCTCAAAATCGACTGCAATCCTGTGGTGCGACAAGCCCTGGAACAAAAAATACTGGAATACAGTATATATATGTAACTGTGTATGTTGGGCATGTCAAACAAAGCCACTGACTCTGGCTTGGTTCCATTTTGTTTCCTCTCGCGTTGGTACTTGCCATCAACTTCGAAAACTACTGAGCAGCTGTTCTACTATGCCTACTTGAAGTTGGAGAGATCCTTCCACTCAGCAAGAATCTTGGTGGCCGCAGTGTAGTCCTCAGCTGCGCGGGCCCACTGCTTGTTCTGGCCATCAACGCCCAGGGTGCCAACCTTCTGAGCAAACTGACGGGCCTTTTCAAAGGCCTTGGAGCCCTCCTCACCAGAGAAGTAGTACATATCTTCCTTCAAGGATCCACCAGCTTCTAGGAGGTTGGCCTTCAGGTTCTGAGCCTGCTTGGTTGCGATGTACTCTGGGGTGGTCTCGAAACGCTTCAGAGCTGCTTGCAGTGCCTTGGTCTTCCTTGCCACCTCATCCACGTTGCGGGCCTTGTAGACAGTGTCTGCACCCACCTCGCTGAACTGGGAGTAGGGGTTGATGGGGTTGTCATTCTGGGAGTAGGCATCAGACTGGCCACTTCCGAAGCCAAACACGGAGAAGGTCGGCACTTCTGCCATTGCTGGAGCTGATGAGGCGGCAACCATGGCAGCAGCAAGTGCAGCAGCTGCTTCATTGCGCTGCTTTGGTGTCACAAAGGCCTCGCCTGACAACAGCCTCAGGGCCATCAAAGCACCGGCGGCCACAAGAGCCTTGGACAGCGCAGAAGCACGAGCCATGGCAGGACCCAAAAGTTGCAACACTTGGATGGCAATCGCGAGCTCAAAAAATGGCTGCTCCGAAAGTAGCGCCATGGAAAGCGCAACTCAGGTAGGTCTATAGAATGAATTTACAGTAGTCATTTCCGTCCTCTGCTTTCCATACAACACAAAGGAACACGGAGGAAACTATAAGACATTCCAGTGGCTTATCCGGACATTTACATGTCCATTCACTGTAAATATAGGGTGTTTCAAGGAAACTTCGAGGTATTCAGCCACACTGCAAAATTACAAACAGCCCTAACAGGATTCCTCCACCACAGGGTCAAGGTTGGCGCGTAATGTGTTGATACTGTAGAAGTAGTAGCCTTTCCTGGGCAGATTTCGCCAGGTCCACCGGGATCATCCCAGCTGAGATTACCATCACGGCTTCTGACATGTGCATACCCACGTGCACAATATATCTATATATATATAATTATGACTATAAATCTTATGTACATGCGATACCATTTGGAGAATATATATGTGTGTATGATATATATATATATATATATACCTGCGCGATGTATATATATATATATATCATTTTGCATCTGGTTCTCAAGCACTGTCGTTTTTTTCAAACATCTCAAAGCTCACCATCAAACATTGCTGCATTGCCAAGGCACTCATCAGGAGGGTTCGTGCCCCAAACCTCTGTGGATTTTATGGCAACCCGGGATTCGTAAACTGCTGGGCTTCGCCCCTCATGATACCTATTGATATCTAGTGATACCTCATGGAAATGCTAAACCGGTAAACCCCCTCAACCTTACTCAACCAGGGCCTTTGCCTTGCAAATGGTCAGCAATATGTAAAGTCTCGGAAAGATATACATACATGGCAAAATTCTACTTCAGTCTTGATCCACGTCCATGACGAAACACAACCATCTGCAATGGTTGAGGGGCCCGGTTGGAAGATTTGGGATCGCACACTGCAACACTTCCTATCTGCATTCGGCAAAAAGGTCACAATATGCCCACCAGGTCACCAGGCCCCAGGTGCAATTTGAACTCAAAAATCACCAGCTGGTTCATTGACAGGACATTGACAGGTGGAGCCAGAAAAAAAGTGATCATGACATATCATGACAACCACAACATGCCCAAAGCCACAGAATTAGTTGGAAACCTCCATATTTGATTGGAAAACCATGATTTCCTGTAGGTTTTCCCTTAAACCAAGCCATTCTTTTTCCCGGTCAAAAATCCATGAAAATCCATGCAACATGTCTTCCCTCGGCAAGGGGCCGGTGTCTGCATGATGCTGCCGTCACTGACTTCCTGAAAGAGTGATTCTCTTCGTTATGTTTGTGATAGTGGGTTGGAAACAACAAATCCTTCGTCAAAGAATGCAAACAAAAAGAACCATTCAACATCATTCAACAAAGTTAACCAATCTTCACCAGCGATTCATCAATCACCTTACCTGGTATGTATCATTTAAGTGAATGCGCCGTATAAATCGCCCAAACTAACGTTGGGAAAACCACAAAATCATGGCTGGTGAGAAACCCTAATGCGTCAACTAAACAAACAACATTATTTTTCATGGACAAAACATGTTCATATGGACACTTATATGCATGGCATACATACATATTATACATACATATTATACATACATATATATATATATATACATACACTTGAAATAGGAATCATGGTTTAAATGGAAAAACCAGTGCTTATTTTTGATAGTAAAACACATATGGAGTTGGGGGTACTCCATGGACTTAGGAAACCTCCATATTTTCTGTGTGCCGGCCTGGATCTCGAAGCCGAACCTGGGTGGTCATGGTTGGCTGCCATGGGGAACAAATGGGGAAGTGACCAACAAAAACTGGGGGGTTAACCAACAAATAGGAACTATGAGAAGTTTTAACCAACTAAAATTGGAATATAAATGACAAGAATTATGATTCCACCAATCATGAGTGCCTAAGCCAGTAAGAATGTGGGATTTCATCAACAAGTAGGGTCTAACCGCAAGGCCGGGGTTGGCTACAAGAACGGGATTGAGCAAACAGCCTGCAGGTAAGTACAGAACCCATTTTCTAGGGTGACGACAACAATGCTTAGGACATGTTGGATCCCATGGACAGCTCAACATGAGCACGGCACGTCCACTGCGCACTGGGGGATACCCAACAAAATGAGTACCATGTTTGTTCATCATCCCAAATAGATCCAAATGGAGGGTACAGGGCACCATATATGACGTACACACACATATATATATATAATCTAATAGTTACATATACATATATATATATATAATTATATATATATATATGATTGAGTTTATATGCACATGTACGCATACATATATGAACATATTATGGAGCTGCACATCTCAAATTCTTTGCGGAAATGTGAGCTGGCAATGGGCATTTATATCCGTTTCATTCTGTTTTTTTCCAGCGAGGGTGGTGGTTGGATGAGGTGTCCTACAAATGATATGAGGATTGTCCGCTCATTTCCACGCGAGAGTGCCATTTCCGGGTTGAAAAAATGGTGTATCTTGACATGTGTTGTTTAAAAATCAGCCCTGGCAGGATGACTTTGAAATATGATTCAAAAAAAAACAACCTCTGAGCCTCTTCAAAGCAGTAGTTGAGCGCCCGTATACTCACCATCTACGGCAAGCAGCTTCATTCAACCCCAACAAGTTCAACACATAGATCCAACATCAGGAAGTGTCAGTTGTTTACGACCACAATACGATAGTATCCGAGTATCCAATAATATACTATGGGAATGACCATAAAATACTATACCTTGTGGTTCTTCAATTATAATCATACAGTAATTAATATCTATGGAAAATGGATGAACAAGGCCCTCCTTGGCAGTCAAGGCCCTCCTTGGCAGCCCGGCTGTGTCACAGGGCAGCCCCCATCATAGCAAGGAAGGACGCTGACAAAGGTGCTCCAGCCTCGCATCAAACGGTGGAATCATCCACCTAAAATGCCTTAAAATGTACAGATCTCATCATATCATATCATATCCCCATATATTTCACCCATTTTGACCCAATGGATTGAATAGATCTACAGTAATCAACCTAATCAACATTTTACCGGTTTCTAGATACGGGAGATATTTAATCTCAGGGGGGGAATGGGATTATTGGACTTGTGGGATTGTGTAAAATTAACGGATCAACAATCAACCAAAATAACCCACAGAATCAAACAGGGATCATAAATAAGAAAACAATGGGATATAATGCCCACAGAATCCAACAGGGATTATAAATTTGAAAACAATGAGATATAATACCCACAGAATCCAACAGGGATTATAAATTTGAAAACAATGGGATATAATACCCACAGAATCCAACAGGAATTATAACTTTGAAAACAATGGGATATAATACCCACAGAATCCAACAGGGATTATAACTTTGAAAACAATGGGATATAATACCCACAGAATCCAACAGGGATTATAAATTTGAAAACGATGGGATATAATACCCACAGAATCCAACAGGGATTATAAATTTTGAAAACAATGGGATATAATACCCACAGAATCCAACAGGGATTATAATTTTGAAAACAATGGGATATAATACCCACAGAATCCAACAGGGATTATAAATTTGAAAACAATGGGATATAATACCCACAGAATCCAACAGGGATTATAAATTTGAAAACAATGGGATATAATACCCACAGAATCCAACAGGGATTATAAATTTTGAAAACAATGGGATATAATACCCACAGAATCCAACAGGGATTATAATTTTGAAAACAATGGGATATAATACCCACAGAATCCAACAGGGATTATAAATTTGAAAACAATGGGATATAATACCCACAGAATCCAACAGGGATTATAAATTTGAAAACAATGGGATATAATACCCACAGAATCCAACAGGGATTATAAATTTGAAAACAATGGGATATAATACCCACAGAATCCAACAGGGATTATAATTTTGAAAACAATGGGATATAATACCCACAGAATCCAACAGGGATTATAAATTTGAAAACAATGGGATATAATACCCACAGAATCCAACAGGGATTATAAATTTGAAAACAATGGGATATAATACCCACAGAATCCAACAGGGATTATAAATTTGAAAACAATGGGATATAATACCCACAGAATCCAACAGGGATTTTAATTTTGAAAACACTGGGAGATAATACCCACAGAATCCAACAGGGATTATAAATTTGAAAACAATGGGATATAATACCCACAGAATCCAACAGGGATTATAAATTTGAAAACAATGGGATATAATACCCACAGAATCCAACAGGGACTATAATTTTGAAAACAATGGGATATAATACCCACAGAATCCAACAGGGATTATAAATTTGAAAACAATGGGATATAATACCCACAGAATCCAACAGGGATTATAAATTTGAAAACAATGGGATATAATACCCACAGAATCCAACAGGGATTTTAATTTTGAAAACACTGGGAGATAATACCCACAGAATCCAACAGGGATTATAAATTTGAAAACGATGGGATATAATACCCACAGAATCCAACAGGGATTATAATTTTGAAAACAATGGGATATAATACCCACAGAATCCAACAGGGATTATAATTTTGAAAACAATGGGATATTATCTGGAACATCAACGGAATTCGCAAATCTGAAAAGTTCAGCCGTTTGGGGATGATTCCCCGCAATCCAACCATGATTCCAGGGTTTGGTCACCGTGAGGTCACTATGATTTGCCCAAAGATTATTCAACAAACATGGCGACGCACAATGATGCACACTCCTGGAAGTTTGACCTGTAACGTCACGGAACCCAGCTTTTTCCATAGAAGTTTTGGGATGCCCTAATTTTGACCACCCATAACTGTAACTAGAACTATAATCATAACCATATATAAGTACAATCATGACCATATCTATGATATTCAGCTATAAAACATTAAAAAAACTATATACTCATTACCAAATATTTTTTCGCTTTGAGACAATAACTAACACTATTCCATATTATACCCATATTCAACCGTTGGGGTGTCTCGGTGCAGTCAACTCTTGGCCCCCCGACTGGTTCGTTCGGCCAAGTTGGATCTGGGAGCATTGGGTGCCTGAGGTCTGAGGGACTGCCTGTCATGTTTTTGGGTGGTCACGGTTTATTCCTGCCAAACTTTGTTTTTTTAATGATGTTGTATGATATTGTTGTTGTATTATAAATATATATATATGGTGTCATGGTTGACTCCATTGATCTGACATGATTCACACGGCAATGCGAACTAATTATATAATTGGGACCTGGAGCTCGATATTGAGATGTCCCTCTTCGGTGTTGGAAAATAGCGTTGTGAAAATATGTAGGTCACGATTATGTAGCATCATATAAAAAAATCAAAAAATGGGAGAGTTGTTTCTTTTAATAATGTGTATATTATATATATACACCGTGTAAATATAATATGTATGTATATATATATATATGTATGTATGATTATGTATGCATATATTAGATATAATACATCACTAACCTGAAGGAAGCCTATGTTGCGATAGTTACCCTTACATTCACTATCTTTCCAGTGAGGTCGCAGTGAGGTCGTCATAATTTCCTCAGCAAATACATCAACCATCCCCCGGGTCATGGCTGCCCATGGGACCTCAGGTTCTGATGGATTGGAACGAAACCTTGGTGTCGCTGAGGACGTGAGGTGGATGCGCATGAAAATAACATGGTGAATACAATAATGATAGCAACCATGACAATAAACAACATACTTTATGATGATGATGATGATGATGATCTTCGCTTTGGTTCAGAGTAATTACCGGTGTCACTATATTATGTGTAGTTTCAAACCATCTCAAACCATATCATTTCTTTCTTCTCAAGGGATACCAAAGGCTTGGGTCCAGACTTTGTGTACCCCTTCAGGGTTTGGCACATCGTATAACCATGACCAATGTCACCATTGAATAGCCATGGGCCGTTGATGACCAATGTCAATCACAATAACATGTATTAACATATAACCACTGAAAACCCATGCTAGACCTCTTGTGCTGGAGATTTTGAACATTATCTTGAATCAATGTTGGAGATGACCCTCCAAATGCTTAGTTGCCCTTTAGATATGTTTTATATGCTTCAAGTTGTCATGATACCACAAGGGTCCAGCACTAGTGCAGGCTGAAAGGCAATGCTACGTTGCTCACAGGTCCATCTCCAAAGTTGTTCGTGCCAAAGACCTGCTGTGGGATCCCGCCCATTCGCATTGGCGTAAGACACCCATGGCGTTTAAACAGGGGTACCATCTCTAATATATATATATACAGTATAGATAGATATAGTCTTATATAGATATGTACTCAATGGGAATTTCAGGATTCTAAAATGGAGGTACTGTACCATATCACGCCATATTTTGTGGGGATATTCCCTTACATAGGCCTTATATAAGCCTTATATATGGTAAGTACCTCCAATTTAGATTCCTGAGATGGCCGTTGATGTACAGAGTCAAATCGAACTTGATCACTTTTTCTGGGTACCGGGTCACCAAGACCAAGGTTTCTTAATTCCTTGTCAGAACTTCTGAGTACGGGATCTGTTCATCAGGTCCTCCTCAATGGTTGGGAAACACCACTGGGCCACTCGGCTGTTTAATTGGGGACGGTAGATAGTGGCATTTTCGTAGAAAACAACATCTTTTCTAGGGGTAATTAATCCCGATTTAATAATTAACCCTGGATTGAGAATGCAGGAATTACAACAACATGAGTTTCCAATATTTCTTTGGTTCTTATTTGCCAATATTTTCCATCTTCCATTAATTCTGGCAAGGATGTGACAGGATTGTAAAGCGGTACGCCCAAAAATAAACATCTCTGGTAACGCATTGGGCTTGGTTTCTACTCCTGGGCTTACCACAGTCACTGGGTATTCGTAAAAGTAACCCAAAAAAGATGTAAAGTATCTAGGTAAACATTTACCACTAGATTTTGACTGAGGTAAATGGTCATATAATGGTCATTTAATTGTCATATACCCATGTTGGATATTTTTGGATCATTTACCACTGGATTCCTCCCAGGCTCTTTCCCTGAAGATCGCACCTGCACCGCAATGTCGCTTCCAGGCCTGCAGGGCCGGGCCATAGGGCATAAAGCGTCAACCATGCGGAGGCTTAATAGCTATGTCGTTGAAAAATCATAGAGGCTAATGGGAGACAAAAGCAGGATCTACATTGAAAATTGTTTTTGTGAAAAATGCAACGGATCAAACCCATCACCAACCCAAAAACATGCGGGCTTGTCCAACTATACACCTTTTGATAATTGACAGCAAACTTTGCCAGAAGCCAGCTGGTTGGTGGTTGAACCGGTTGAACACACTTTACCCCCAACAGCCTGCAGAATTACCTCTAAAGCTGTGAAAATTGTAAAGTTGATACGGGCTACCTTGCAGGGACTCTTCATCTTTGCGTCAACATCACAAATAATCTAAAATAAATACAAGCAAGCAATACGCATCATATCATGATCACACATATCATGTGCTTGAAGTTCCTGGTTTGTGGTTGTAACATGTTGTAACATGTTGTAACATCTGAACATCTTCCCAATTAGGGACGGCCACTCTGAACGACATCGATTCAGGTCCAACGGCTCCACCTGAGGCCCGAGATCATGGTGGAGGTAGGACGGGCTCCTGTTTTCAGGGATGGCCTGCTGGGACTCTCTCTTGTTTTCAATGGTTTTACTGGAAATCATCCAGAAAGATCATGAAATATCTATGAAATATCTATGAAATCTATCATATGTTTTTCCATTGTCAAGTGAAGTGGCTCTTTCCCAAAAGCGGGAGGCGCTCTTAGTTGCAATGCTCATGGCGAAAACCAGTATAAATCCATTGGATTTTGAGCACCGAAATTTTGAGACAACCCGCAATTTGGCTGCTCATGTCACACATCCATTCTTGAAATGCCAAATCAAATATATAGCTAAATCTTGCGATTTCAGCAATAGATGTGGGCTTTAGTGGACTATGAAAGGTGATGCCAAGTCGTCAACAATATCAATAATTATGTACATAAACATGCATGCACGCACACACTGACACACCCCTGTATACCTATAATATATATATATATATATGCGCATACAACAGGATCTGTGACTTACTATCAAAACAAGTTGAACAAGTCCAGACTATATCCAGGACTTGCGATTCCCAAAAAAATCATTTCCCGGTCTACTGATGTTGGTTGCAGTGGGGGTTCATCGACATGTTCAGCCCTTATTCTTGGTCCAGCCTACTATGATGGAGAGATGAACCCATGAATTCGTTTCTTGGCTCTTTATCGAACACATCTCATGTTGCCATAAAAACAAACACATGTGTAGCTATTAGTAGGCCTGAATATTTTTTTTAAAATGCACACACACACATATTATAACTTATAACACGCTAGCATCGTTACATACAACAATGCGCGACATGTGTTTTATGCATATTCCTCCATCCACATGGTAAAGAAATGCACGGCCAACCCGGAGCCAATCGATTTCCCCATCTTCCCTTGGTCCTCGGATCACCTTCACTTCACTGGATTCGGAGTCCTGGGGCCAGGGCAGACTTCGCCCAATGGAAACGAATGACACCTCTACCGTGGCCTAAACAAACCCCATGGAAAATCATGGGACATCATGCATTCTGAGCATTACTAATTCATAGTAATTCATAGTACTTCCTACAGGACATAATCTTTAAATATCTGTAAAATCATTGAAACAAATCTTAAAAAACCTACTGTATAATTTATTAAATTGTGTTCTTTCCATGTTTCTTTCCCACATCTTACAGTCCCAGCGCGCTACAGCTGACAGTTGAGGCCCTGAAACTCCTCCAAGAGCTTCACGCAATTCGGCCCACCTGGGGGGCAGCTGACTTCCATACCGCAATGACTACGAAATCTACTTAGGACATCTTAGGACTACATAGGACTACTATCCAATTGAGCGTTGATGTGGTGGTGTCCAATGTGGTGATGTATAGTCTATACATGAATTATAAATCTGATTATAGGTTTCACTTGGTTTTGGAAATGTGCAGCGATCAAAACCGAACAAACCACATGTCCTTCTCAGAGAGTGGCGCATCACATCGCTGCTTTGAAAACCATATTAAAAATGCAGTTTTATGATGATTCAATGTAGATACCTACTATGCACTGAAAGATGTCCATTTTGATTCCTGTTGCGATTCCATTTGTTTCATATATATTCGCGGGCAGTTTACGCATTCTTTTGGAATACCGGCTTTGATGCATAAGGATGCGGGGCATTGCTCTGGTCAAAAATGGTTGGCCGGAAACTCAGCTGGATGACCATAGACATATCCAAATATACCCAGTAAAACAACGGGGGGTCCAAGCCAGTCATGTTACTGGAGGACAACGTGCTGATGACAACGTGCTGATGACAACTCTGGGACAACGGCAAGCATAGAATATGCTGTAGCTTGTGACCTGCGCAAGAGATTGGCTGCGCACACAAGCATCACGACAACGACATGATGTTGCAACTCATGTCACCTGTGCTTGTTTGTCCTTGATTAGGGATGTCGTCATTGTCCTCCTCCTCCTCCTCATCATCATCATGATCAATAACATCAACAATAACATCAACAATAACATCAACATCCACATCAAGGCCAATAAATAATTGTCTTAAAAGGACAAACCTCCCACCAGTTCCAGCCATATCCGAGTGACCAAATCCCCATCAAAGGTGCCCAAATCTGCAGGTGGCTGAAAACCTGGAAGGTCACGTGGGATCTGCAAGCCATTGGGCCATTGGGCTTGATTTTATTAACACAATGTTGACGCTAACTAATGCGTATTTAGTATTTATCGCACATTTATTTAGTATATATTATGTGTATCAAAAAACAAAACACATATGTAGTATATTATATATATAGCATATTATATTATATTACATAATATTAAATCATATTATATTATATTAAAATATATCATATATAAATTATATATTCCGTATATTATGTTATATGATGTTATATTATAGTATGTTTTGTTATATTATATTAATTGTATTGTATTGTATTGTATTGTATTATATTATATATATTATATTATGTAGTTGCAACCTGGACTTGTTGAATCGCCTTTGAGCTGCTTGCTTGAGAGTCCAGCACAAATTTAAATATACGAACCACTAACTGGATGAGCCCAATCAAACATAATTAATTAGTAATGACACAATCCGCATTCTAGATTCTAGATGATGATTTTCGATTTCATGTTAGGATGATCACAGATTAAACAAAAAATAGCAATCTTCAGGAAATCCAAAAGTCTGAACCCTCACGCTGCAGCCGTCTTGGGTTCCGGACTCACATTGACATGTTTGGCCTTGGAAATTCTGCGGATAGCGGCCCAAATCAATAGAATTCACTGAGAACTCCTGCCACTGGCTACTTTCTCCAAAATATGAAAGGAGGACATGTTTGCATTTACAGGCCTATGCCGATACCAATTCAACTCATGGTCAGTGCCGCTTCAAAACTCCCCAAAACGCAACTGTCGTTGCTGAAGCAGCTTGCCCCTATCAGGACCTGCAGCCGCCATTCATGAACACATGTCCTCCGAACATCTAAGCCCGATTCGAAATAACCCCCAATGTCAAATCATTCCAAATACCTCCCACTTGTCAATGGGACAATGCCAACTGCAAATGGTGATTTGCTTCCTTGTCATGTAGCATCATCAGCCACTGTTAAAAACGTGGACCGCAAACCTTCTCCCGCTTGGGCTGAGATGCAAGGTGTATGTTGGATGTAAGTGTCACTGTTGACACTACCATGTGGCTTTCACCATCTTTTTGCCTCTTCAAATCGCTCATGCAGTCTGCTTCGAGATGTCCCACACTAAAATGTACATGGACCACGCCGCCTCTAGCGGCGAAAGAGCACCCACTTGGTGGGTCCCAAGCTGCGCTGCGGAAAAGAAATTGCGATATGTGCCATGGCCAAACAGCCTTGAAGGATGGGCTTCCACCCTTTGAAACTTTGGGCGGTTCTGATGATGTACTGTATTTTATAAAACTGTACGTATGGGGCTGACGTTTGTTAATGTTTCGAATATGTTTGAGTTTTGACCTTGGAACATATAGCAAGCACAGAAGATACACAGGGAGGGATGTGAACTGGGCAGCGCCAAGCAAGCCCTGGGAGAACTGAACCTAGGTGACATGGTTTCATTTCGGGAGACCTTGGGCGGGGTCCGGGGACGAAACAATATCAAAGCATAAACACAATCTACAACCAGCTCGTGTTGCCCCACATCCCTCTGTGCATGGAAAAGGTGTTGTACACGTGCAGCTGGTGGCCATTCGCAAGCGAAGGCCTGAATTAGTGAATTTGTATCACATTTGTATCGCCTCTGGCCTGCTGAAAGTGATTTTCAGAGTTTGAGGCCAATTCCTTGATAGCTAAATGGACATATTAAATTAGACAATGTGTTTAAAATGGGTTAGATGGAACCGACTTTAACAGCAAAATGGAATGAATGGATCCTAAATGGATGAAATGGACATAAATGGACATAAGACAAATGCAACCCACCTCTTGAAGGGATCCATTCTGGCAACCACCTACTCTGCTAGTGTTGAAACATGTTCCACATTCAACTTGAATCCAGTTCCCTCATCAAACCTCTTGTCGCATTCTTCACTGCAACTGGGTCAAATGTCAATTTATCCTCCTAATTTGCCGATTGAATGGAACGAAAAAGGCACTGCCAACTAAATCATATAAGTCAGTTTTGGAATAGTTTGGGTCACTTCCTCTCCATGAACAGTCGTTGGGTGGTTGCGGCTGAAGCTGTCCTCAATTATAGCTACCCAACCTTTTAGGAATACAATTGCAACCATTCCTCCATTCATGGCTGGAATTGCTGTCATGGAAAACCGATGGGAAACACTGGGCGTTTCCTTTCCCCGTTTCATCACCTCAGTGAGCCAATCTCGGCCGTACCCGGCGCCCCGTCTCAGTCGTTTCCGTCGTTCCATCACGGTGCAGTTGAAGGAGGTTGCGATCATGCAAAGGCACGGTCGCTGGATCACCGCCCCACTCTGGACCTTGGAGGAAACAAACATCTGACTCATCTGACCAGTTTGACCAGTTTTCGCTGGATTTATGATTGAAAGTTGAGAAACTCTTCTTGACATTTCTTGACTTAGTTTTTCAGTTTCCAACTCTTGGATACTCTTGGAATTATTTGGAGCTGCTACGCTGCCACCACGTACCATTTATGACAATTTCCCAAGGATATGACAACTATGACCCCATGGCTTGCTGCTGAGCAGCCCCTGTTTGCGAATGTAAACGTGGGGACATAGCTGTTTCATCTGTCCTACACTGTATAGTATTACTAAATAAGACGCGCAAAGTGAAATCCAAACTTCAGTGACACAACAATACAAACATGACATTGCATTACTACACTGAGCAATGGGCTGTTCTCTTGTGACGGAAAAACGTGCTGTTGCGCTACATTGCATTGTAGTACAGTGCATTGACATATGGTATCCTGATTGATTTTAAGATCCTTTCATATCCTCTGATGTGTGTGTGTTTGTGTGTAAAACATGTCGCATTCATTCAGCATTGCAGCCACAGCATGGCAACTTGATGCGCATAGGTGAACAAGGTGGAACAGGAACACACATGAAGAAACAACAGCAATTGCCTAATTGCATAGCTACAATGGCACATCATCAATCTGAAGTGCATATACATGTGTATTACTGTATATATATATGCATATATATATATATGCAAGTTTCTATATATATATATGTGCACAGAGTATGTATGAAATCTTTAGATCAAATGCATCCCTCATGTGTATCTACTTGATACAAAGAAACAAAAGAAGAAGAAGAAGAAGATGAAAAAGATGAAGAAGAAGAAGAAGACACCTCAACGGGCAAATGATGCAGTCTTGGCGCTGCCCCAGCACACGAGGTCACCATTTGAAAGCATGGCCTAGGCGCAGCTGGACAACTGGACACGGCGGGGTTGTTGCATAGGAAATTGGGAAATCCAGAGGGATATGAATTGGATATGCATGGATAATTATCCTATATATTACCTAAATGGGATATGAATGGGACAAGGATATCTATGGGATATGAATAAAAATCAACAAAAAAGAGCAGCATAGAATGTTTACGTGGACGTCAGTTGCCATCTGTGGCAAACGAAGAAAGAAACAAAATCAGCAAATTTTTACCAAGATAAACAATCGGAGCAAGGACCTGTCGAAACCCATTGAAACCCCTTGGAATATCTTGGACTGATGCCAAATACACGGGATTTGTGTGTCCCTCCATTTCTCCAGTAAGAACAATATTTTAACCTATCGTTCAAGATGGTTCACGCAGGAATGTGAACCCTACATTCAATAGACTGCCTTGAGGAATATGATGTGGAATCCCACCGCCGAGCCGCTGCAAAGGCACCCGCGGAAGCCGCAATCTGCTGCACCCCTGCCCGGCGGCCGATGCTTGGACGATCATCCGTTTTTGTGTTTCTTAATCATGGGAGGGAAATCCCCAAAGGGTTCATCCCCTGTCATTTATAGGGGCTGTCCATGGCTGTCCCATATTTCATGAAGCAAAACCTAGTAGATCATGATCAAATTTATTGTTCAGGTACATATGAGATCATATCATGTTATGGACATGATTGATCGTCTACCCCTCGGAGGATCACTGGATAATGCAAATGATTCCTGTATCGTTCCTATACTCTACTTAAAGCACTGTGGACACCAAAAAATCATCGAAATGAGGATGGCCACGGCCACTGCTATTGATTGCAGCTGGAGTAGCCAAACGAAATGGATGTTGAGGCAGATTGGCTGGTGGATCAGCAAAAAAAATCACAGGCCCTTACATTTCATCCAAGAACATTATCCTTTGCCGGGTAATGCTTGCATGTATAGTGTTATTGTGCATATTGCATAACTACAGCCGAAAATACATTACAGTGTCCGATTGATACATTTTGTTCCATCAACCCCGCACGAAATTCAATTCACGGGACTTTTTCACTAAGCTCAACATCCCCCAAATACCAAGAAATCACATCCCTAACATATCCAGAAACCATATAAAACCATATAAAACCATATAAAACCATATAAAACCATATATATCATATAAAACCAATTAAAACCAGCATTTCTCACGGCCTTTCCCCATGCGCCTTGGAGCCTCTCCTCCGCGTCCGCCACATCCCCGCCCAAGGTCACATCGCCCCAGGCCACCACCACGCCGTCCCCGCGCAGCGCGGCAAAGGCGGCGGCGGAGCCAACGATCTGCTGCACGTCGTAAAGCTGGTGCTGCACCGAGGAACTATCACCTGGAACTTGTCATATCTATAGTGGGGAATGATTAATGGTATTGTCATGGGATTCATGGGATTTTTCTGGCAAGTGATTTTAATGGGATTATATGATGGAATTTTCACACACACACATATTATCTTTATCTAACATCTGTTGTCAATGGAAGAATGGGCAATTATGGTGAGATTCATCATTCTTTTGTTGGGGATGTAATGGGAAATAATGGGATGAATGGGGAACTTCATGGGATTTGTGAGGTTTTCATGTGGCATTCTCTTTGATAATCTGTTGCAGCTTGCAAACTGGAAAATCACCGCGTTTCATAGGTCGATCATCGGTCAGCAGTGATCAATTAGTTTACCCTCCAGTATCATCGAACTAAAGGGGGGATTGTGCATTGCCAAGTTTGATTCCCGAAGGGTAAGGGGATATACCCCCAAAATATGACCTGATATGGAAAAGTACCTCCATTTTTGGATCCTGGAATTCCCATTGATAATGTGTATAGTTATATATATCCAAGGCAGAAGCCCCAATTGCAAATGGGAATTCTGATTGGCTCTATCTCATCATACACACTGCATGCGGGTGCAAGACACACACACACACATCTCTCTCGAGCAGTACTTTTGTGTTTGTTATTCTATGTTATTCTTCTATGCATATATAGATGTAACATAAGATATATATATATATTGAGATTTCCTAAAATGGGAGTACCCCCAAATCATTCATGCTAATAGGATTTTTAATTGTAAACCCTTCCGTTTTGGGGTAGTCACCATTTCAGGAAACCTCCATGTATGCATATATATATATATAATATAATCATATAAATATATTATATATATTTATATATATACACATATAACATATGTCTACATATGTAATACATGGGTCATCACAGGTTCATCTCCGGCACCTCCTGCTGCAGGATCGCCCCACGTGACCACGCGGCCCGTGGCCAAGATCGCAGCAAATGCCTTGCCAGTTGCTTCGACCTGCGGAGTGGGCTCCATGGTGTGGGATTTACTGGTGATTTGATGGGGAATAATTGTGGAGATGAGGATTTAATGGGATGAATCATCAGCCTTTAATGGGCTTTGAAGGCTTGAATCAACAGCAATGAGACCTACTAGTTACTAGTAGTAAGATTGAATGGATTACTACCCTGCAGCAATCAAACATGGCAAGCTGCAGAGAAATCCCGAATCAAATGGGCATTGACATGGGAAAATCATGGTCACGGAGTGGATTGGGGTGGCGGTTTGGGCTTGTGATGTTGGATTCTAGGCGACAAACTCCAAGCGATAATCCCTTTTAATATCGTTTAATAACAAGGTCCAAGGCATCCAACCCCAATGAGTCGCAGCTGTTGGTTGATGGTGGCTTGTGGGTGATGTTTTTTCCACCCCAAGAGCCAGAACCCTGACCCTGACTCTATCATTTTGCCTAAACATATGAAAGTCACGTAGGGTCATCGTCCCACATCCCATTTTAAGGGATGAACACACGAGATTAACGTGAAACCACCAACACGACGACGACGACGACGAAGACGACGACGACGACCACCACCACCAGCAGCAACAACAACAACAACAAGAACAACAAGAACAACAAGAACAAGGATTGTGGCAATGAATCAGTTGGAGATGACCATCTGACAATTTCAAGAAGGGTTCGGTCAAAGTGAGACGCCGGGTGGGCGAGCAGCTTACAGCACCGCTACACAATACAGTGAGGCATTGCATGCTGGTTGGTCGATTTATCCCAACAAAAGCCTTCAAAATATCCATGCAAAAAAAACAAGTCAATAATAACAAAATAACAAAATACTACACATCTGGCCGCGCAACATGAGCATTGTTGGAGTTGGTGTGTGGCCATTCCAAGGGTCAAGTGACCTAAACAACGGGATAAACAGGTCACTTGACTGCCCTGTCAACTATTCAATAGCTAGGCAGCTAGACTTACGAATGGATTTCATCAATCATACCTACCCTATGGTAATTCAACTTAGCTATAGACAATCACCATGTTCAATAGTAAATCATTGAATTACCTGGGCCATGGCTTCCAGTTCGGGAAAAAAATAAACAGTTTAGTTTACTTGGGCAGGTATCATCCTCCGACCTCTATTTGGGATTATGTAAAACGAATTAAAATGATACATGTTTTGTTTGGAATTATTTGGTTTGGGATTATTTTTGGCATTGGGTTTATCATGATTTATCAGAATTTCTCGGCCGCCATGGGCCCGCCCAGGCCTCACTCACTTGGCAAAGCTGTGCCTGAACTGCCTGGCTGTCGCCTCCTTGATCCTCAGAGATGGGATCCGAAGTCAAACAAAATTCACCATTATGACATATTATAACCAATATTAATATGTTAGAAATCTTATCGTGCAAAATTATCCGAGCAAAAAAATGTGGTAGAAAGGGAACATAGAGGGACTCTATATATATATATACATATGGATATATGGCATGATATTAGATACATAAATACAATAGCCGGTTTGGAAGTCAGCCTGCCACTGTCCTTGTTGGCGAAACTCCACTTTAACTATCTTCATTTTGGGTGTTGGATGGCTTCGGGCATTCCAAGCCACCACACTCAGGCCTCCATGTTGGCATTGGTCGAGTCATGAGCTCCCACCAAATCTTCCACAAAACAACCCCAACATTTGCCTCAATTGGACCCCAAAACTTCCTTTTTCCGCACAATAGTTATTCCCACCCAGCACCTGATTTTCATTGATTGTTCATAAGTCCCTCCCCCCGTGAACTTCCAGGCGGTTCCCTTCAACTCTGCATTCAAACACATCCAAAACTCTCAAGAACTTTAGTCCGAGAATTTCAAAGGGCATGTTTTTTTCCTCATGTTCCATCATGTTCCATCTATCGTTGTCATTCATTTTCTATATGTATATATATTTATAATCGTCCCACTTAAAAACTGCTACCCGGTACCCATCCTGCTACCCAGCCGTCCATCACCGGGTCACGGCTGCGCCCCAGGATACCAAAGTACCATCCGAACGAATGGCCGCGAAGGCTGCCGCCGTGGACTTCAGCGTTTTCACATTCTGCAGCTCCTCCTGGACACCTAGGAAAACGACGTCTGAACGTCGAGAAGGCGGAGAAAAAAACAACAGGATCCTGACGAACGCATAGGAATATCAGGGGTATCTATATATCTCTATCTATCTATCTATCTATCTATCTATCTATCTATCTTATTTAATCTAATCTAATCTAATCTAATCTATCTATGTATCTATCTAACCTATCTAATCTGTCTAATCTATCTAATCTATCTATCCTATCTAATCTATCTATCTATCTACCTATCTATCTATCTATCTATCAATCTGTCTATCTATCTATCTATCTATCTATGTATCTATCTATCTATCTATCTATCTATCTCTATCTCTATCTATCTATCTATTTATCTATCTATCTATTTATCTATCTATCTATCTATCTATCTCTATCTTTCTGTCCCTAGATATTGGATATAATCGGATATAATTGGATATATAGCCAATCAACATGTGCGTCAGTTTTAAAAAAATAACATCGGAAACCTTATATTTTGCTATACTTTGGAGTAAAAATGGGTGTTTTCACGCGACTTTTTCCAAAACACCAATCCATCCATTGATGGGAAGAAACCAGAAATTCTGCTCCAAAGTGCCCGGGTTTTCCTCAAAGATTTCACGGTGCTTCAATGGCGAATCAGCCAGTCTTGGATACCTTGTAAGAAATCCTATACTATGACTCCTCATTGGGAATCAAAAACCAAACAGGAAAAAACAATTCAGGTATCTACCCTTAAATAAGGTTTACCCGGTTTCCCTAGATGCCGAGACTGAAAGCTAGAATTTGGGCCGGTGAAGCCCCAGACTGTGTCGAGTCCCACCACATCATTACCCAGATTTGGGTCAATGGAGGGACTTTGCTAAATGAAACTTGGAAATTAAAGCAACAAAAGCATGCAACATGAAAAGCAACAAGACTTGTAATTCAAGAAACACTGGGAAATTGAAGCATCAAGGGCGCGCAAAATGATATAAGCAACAAAACTGGAAATTCATAGAGCAAAAAGTTGATTCTATAGCATTATATAGTGGTTTGTGGTTTCACGAATTTATGCAATTAGGCAAAATACATACGAGTGCAAGAGGGAATTGCTGGAAGTTCGACATGTTTCTTTCACCAGGATCAGCATGGTGCTCCAGCAAGGCAGAAGTATCAAACATCAACAGCTGCAGGTGGTAACCAGTAACCAGTTGCAGTTCGGTGATCCAAAATATGTCGAAGTGATGTCCGGCTTCTACAGGGCCAATTTCTTGCCTCACAATCTCAGTATAGTAATTATCATTATTCAGTGCTTCAAAGTTCTCTGCAATAACTAATGGTGGGCAGTTCCAGCTAGATAGAAGTCCTTATGTAATATGATATATATATACAGTATATATATATGGACTACCACTTAGTTCACTTAGTTGTAGGGGTTGCCGGTTGCCCTACTGATTATGGGGTGTTAATTACCATGGCTACCCATTGCACGTTCGCCAGGGCACTTGTACTGTCTCCTCCCGACATGGCCTCGCCCCACGTGACCACGGAACCATCCTCCTGGGAAATGGTGATGTGTAGCTATACTGGGAGGGAATAAGATATCATGTGAGGCTTTTCATACATGGGGATACCCCTAAATCATCCATTTATTCCATTTTCATAGGATGTAACATTTTAAACCATCCATTTTGGGCTATCTCCATTTATGGAAACCTCCATGTTGGACAATCTATCGTGAAAACAATCAGGGATAGTTATGATACTTGGATACAAATCTTATTGAAATTAAACAAAACGCTGAAGATGATGGAACAATTAGTTTTGACAGTCATTTTGGGTCCAGGATGATTGATTGGATTTTGCCAAGCGGAGTGTCCAACAAATTGCTTGGCGGTTAAGCCAACAACGACTGTGATAAATTGCAATACATTGGGATCTGTCAAGGCATGGGAACAACGGCATACCAAGCCACTGCCAACGTCTGGACGTCTGGTCTTTGCAAACTCAAGGGCTTCAGCTTCCACAATGTTTCTGGTTGAGTTTGATACCCAAAAATCCCAAAATATACAGCGCAGCAGATTTCATTTACTCGACAATGGTTGCCTCCACTCGTATAGGTGTCTGCCAAACGTGTGATTGGACTTGAATGCGTTCAAGCGTCAAAACTCGACCAATGCCTATAATTATAATAACGTGTGAAGGTCTTTCAAACCAGGAGTTCTGCTCCCCCATGCCCTGTATACATCGCATCTTTCAACAAACCAGTGTGATTACAGCATGTATTCGTGTAAATGTATGTAAATGTCTGATTGCAGTTCAGTATCGATATGATGTGCATGGAAAGCAACAAATCAAAATGCTCCATTTCAGCACGAAGCATCCTGCTGTGATCAAGTCCCGGGCGCAGCTCATTTTCCATCATTTTCCAAGTTTTTCCCAGCCATAGGGAACACAGCCATAATTAGAAATTCCTAATTGGTTGGGTTATGTGTATGTGTATATATATATGTATGTGTATATATATATATATATGTATGTGTATATGTGTATATGTGTATATGTGTATATGTGTATATGTGTATATGTGTATATGTGTATATGTGTATATGTGTATATGTGTATATGTGTGTATGTGTGTATGTGTGTATGTGTGTATGTGTATATGTGTATGCATGTATGCATGTATGCATTCATGTATGTATGTATGTATGTAGGTATGTATGTATGTATGTACTGTACTGTACTGTACTGTAATGTAATGTAGTGTAAGTAATGTAAGTAATGTAAGTAATGTAAGTAATGTAAGCAATGTAAAGTAAAGTAAAGTAATGTAATGTAATGTCATGTCTGTAACGTATGTAACGTATGTAACGTATGTAACATATGTAACGTATGTAACGTATGTAACGTATGTATGGTATGTATGGTATCTGTATAGTGCTCAACACCCCTAAGACCTGATCTATTTGGTGACACAGCTGCGCTAGAGGCGTATTGGATCAAAGAGATAAGCAAAAAAGCTACCAGTCACCAGGGTGAATCGCACTACAAGACAGGGGGACCGTTTGCTGGTATGGTATGGTATGGTATGGTATGGTATGGTATGGTATGTATTACATTTATTGCATGAGATTCTCCTTGCATACGTGCAACCTCATGTTCCGACTGTTTCATCCTCGTGTTGTTCCGTTTCACAGCCATTTCTTCCTCATTGTTGATCAAAACATGTTCAAAACCCAGCCAACAATGATGGCTCTTACATCCCCTGCAAAGGAGCTAATTTCTCATTCAAAAAACTGACCAAGAAAACATCCTCAAACTGGGCCCAAAACTATCGGCGGCCGAGAATCCAAGACTGCAGCAAACGCGAAGGAGGCTGGTTGGATGTGTTGGACGTTCCTTGGGAAAACCACTGGGGTTGACCGGCTGTGATGAAACGGGATGACGGCCTGGGGAGTTGGACTGCTGGACCAAATGAAGTATGGGCTCTACATCTACAACAATCATTCAATAGTGATAAAATGGATTAAAACATCTGATAGTTATTGACTATTTGTTCATCATTATTATCACTATGGATAAACATGGCTGTAGGATGTGTTTGGTAAAGGTTAGAACAGGAATCGGATACGTTGTCATGGCTATGCTTCAGTGCGATGATGACAGAGGCAACCACCTCATCATTGGTGCACCAAAGTGTTTGCAATTCCGATCTAAGTCTAAGCGTCTAAGCGTGTCCAAGCTTTGTTCTATCATGAATTTCTATGAATTTAATCATATTTAATCTATCCTAAAATAAAATAGACCCTAACTGCAGTTTCTTGGAAACTAAACATAGACCCCTAGGATGCTTCTGGAATATGTTTAGCAAGGCTAAGGACCTCTTGCAAGCATCCTATCTTGAAGAATGGGGATCACATATAGACCCTGGGAGTTCATGGACAATGTGGACAGCTGGCATAACACAGACCGGAACAGCGACATTGACGCTTTGACGTTTTCTATAGTCACATTTAAATACAATTTAATGTAGTTTGATTTGTTCAGCAGTGGCCAACATGTCTTTGTACTGCTTCCAATCTCTCAGGCCAGGTTTTCGCACAGCGTCTTCAATTGCGACTCAACCTGGGCGAAGCCAAAACACACGCCTTGCTCCTAGTGTTCCAATCTAGGGCCAGGATGTGTTAGGGAGTTTCATGTTACACGTTGAGATGGCAAGGTGAAAGCCAAAATGTATATGTATATAATTTTATATACAGTAAATACGTAAAAGAAAAAAAAGCAGCTGGATCTCTCTTGCAACTGCATTTAGGACTGACAATGACTCAGAACATACCCAAAAATGCAAAGGATGTTGACAGTGGGCAAGAGTTTGAGTCTTTGATAGCCCCAAAACTATTCTGAAAAACTTAGGCAAGGGAAGATCTGGGCTGTTTGTTTTGTGGGATTTGAATGGAAAAATCATGGGAAAATTGGGTGATAATGTATGGATATCCTGGGATTTGATGCGATTTTATGGGACTTTAGATGGTTTGGATGGATTTGAGATGATTGGAAGCATGAATGGAATGTGAAAACCTTCGGATTTTATATGTTCCTTTTCGAGTTTACAGTATGTATGAGTTCATTGGAGATGTGGGATCTGAGCGGATGGAAATCTGGAAACTGGGAATTGCACTGCCACATTTAACCAGCGAGAAATGGAGAGATATCTGGCATCAAACCTGTTTTGGCTGTGTCTCAAAACTTGGGTAACTCTAGATGTAACTCTTCAATTTGTGGCCATGTTTGTGAAGAGGTAGAATCCTATGCACATATTGTCAGTACTATTTGATGTGCTTGTACTGTATGTCGCAAATTTTGATTTGGAACTTGGAATAAACTTCATCCAGTGCTTTCCATGGCCACTGTGCATTTTGTGCTTTCCAGATATTCAGACTTCCCATGGCCCCGGGGCTCCCCACCTTGGAGCTGTCGCCGCCAAAGTCCTCCTGTCCCCAGGTGATCACCTGGCCGTTCACCTTCAACGCCGCGAAGGCGCCCGCGGAGGCGCTGAGACTCGACACGTCTTTCAGGTGGCCCTGGACCTGGGAAAACAATGGATATCCAACTGATGTCACTTGATTAACTATCTATTCCAATATGATAGTTGGATTTGACCCATTTAAAAGTTACAAATGAGTTGGACACCCATAGATTAGATATATAATTAGATATATTGCTTTATTGGTTGTGGGAAAACATGGGAAAAGTAGGTCTATAGTTTTGAAGGAAATTGGGAAAGGCGATAATCAAGAGGGGAGATATCTAATGGATAGTAGTCACAATATACTTCTAGATGTCAAAAAAAACATGGAACATTGGATAAAGGTTGGAGCAGTGGGAGAGGCTACAGGCTACAAATGGATGCAAATGGCTTATAAGCTGGGATATCATCTGTAGACGATCTTAGGGATATGGAGTTTTAATCGATAGATTGCGGGAAAAAAAAGGCTACTGTAATAGGGATAGTAGTGGCTAGTATTATAAGAATAAGAATTTTGAGGGATTATTTCCCCGTTAGTTCACCAATGGCCACATGTCAGAGGGCTCTTTCAGCCTCTTCTTGTTGAATCACAACAGCACCAAGAGGATGTGTTTCAATGGCTATCCCCAAAAGAAACCACCTCGTGGAAAATCCGCCCAAATCCCAGATGGCCATGTGGCTTCTTGGCTGCTAAAAAACATGATTCTACCAACCTCATCAAACCTCCCAGACCGCACATTGCTCTGAATTCTTAAAGCAGCTCTCTTTTCCACAAACCTCATCGAAACAAAAACAAAAAAACACACGGAAATTGCCCAGGTCACTAATGTTACTAAAGGACAATGTTCAACCCCAAGCTAGGATATACTTTTCTTTAGTGTCTACTGTCTACTCAATTATTCACTTAGTACGTAGACTATGTCCCTGGTATTCCCTGGATATAACTGTGATTTCAGCAGGGTTCAGATCCATGGATCCGCCACCAAGGCACCCTGCTGCAGTTGCCCCCCAAATGGCTACTGCCCCAGGTCACCACGGTGCCGTCTTCCTTCAAAGCACCGAAGGCCATGGCTGTGGCTTGGATCCTCAGGAAGGATGTCAAGAAAAAGGGCCTTTGTTTCACTAGAAATGTGGAGTTCAACAAACAACTTGGAACATTAGTACAGTATATAATATATGTATATATAAACTACAGTATATATATATATGTGTGTGTGTTATGGACTTCACCATCAAAAATGGCACTTGAAATAGTCGGACCCGAATCCTTAGATTTTACCGCCAACAATGATTCTTGAACATCTTGAACAAACAAACATGTGCACTCAAAATAGGTTGTAATGGGTACCAGCGGTATCACCGGAAACGTTCGGGATTGGGACCTCGAGACATTGCCAAACGTGCAGCACAAGCTGCATGTGTTCGCCAGCTATGATGGGATGATGGGGGCATGTCCAGCATTTCGTGTCATCCTCCAAAAATCCTTCATTGATAGAACGGGTGCCAATGCCGAAACGTAGGGATGAAACTCATGAAACATTTCTGGAATAACGGATATGCCTTCCTCAAGCTGGCCGAACAAAGTGAAAGATTGAACCATGAAGCTATGAAGAGCAAAACTACCGCCTAAAATAGCCAAACATAGCGAATTGCCAACAAATTTGCCAACCACATCACATCCAAACGAAAGATTAATCAACCAATCAAAATGGCCTATGCTATTACAGCAATAAAATGCACTTCAGCCAAACACACACACACATAATATATATATATACATATATATACATATATAATATGTATACATTTTGATACATACTATACGTACAATATCTGTTAATCTTATAGACGTATATTAAAAGCAACTGACCTGAACATTAATTAAATTTGACCTCATTCACAAGTCCAACCCTTGGGCCAGGTATCTGCCGAACCCCTCGGAGTGACACTGAGCTGGCGTCGCCCCCTGCCCGGCAGAATGCGGTGTGTTTTTTTGGCAAACCAGCGCGATGTTTTGGAACATTTCAGTCAATGAGTGGATTCAATCCAGTAAAGGCAGATATGCGTATCTGTTTTGCACGGTAACTGTTTTTTTCTTTTTATGTTTCTCTGCATTGAACGAAAGGTGTGTATACGTTGGAATATGTTGGAATATGTGTATACTGTATATATATATATATGTTAAATTATATGGTATTACAATGTACTACACATATTTATACATCCAATATGAAAACAACCAAAGCATCACCAAAGATCTTAAATGATTTAAATGTTAAGGCTTGTCGAGTTGGAAGGCAAAACAATTCACGATTTGGCTCCCCCAAACACAAAACCCAGGGGCCTTGCGGGTCCTTAGCCCCTGAACATTTGTCAAAGCACCAAGGATTTTGGTTTCTTAGCCCCTCTGCAAAGTGGTTCTACCTGAAATACCCAAATGGTCTAAGGGGCTGAGTAGCAATGGGTTGTTCCCAACTAACTGCAAAACAAGTATGGACACACGATGGAGATGTCACGTAAACTCTTGAAGGGAGCTGGCGTGGAGGACTCAGTCGAGGTCTTGCACGGACAACTAGCTGGCTGCAATGTGTAAGGATTCACCATGCTGATTGGGTGACCCTTTTGAATCTTTTGGAAATGGGAACTGGTTGCGAACCATCATTCCAAACTCCAAACCATTCCTAAACCACCTGCCAGGGTGATTTCACAAATATGCAAAACAACGAATGCAGTTCTCATTAAAAAGTATCATTTTTGATGAAATATGTATGTCAATGGTCATCAAAGTTGGTCGCCAAACTCATCCCTCCCGAGTTGCCTAAGGTGGAGTCGCCCCATGTGACAACTTCTTGGTTTTCCTGCGGCAAAGGAGTGGATACAGAGCCATGCCATCGATACAACTCGATGTCTGGATTGATGGGGTGCACATCGCTGATCCTAGATGCCCCTCAAACCAGAAAACTTATCCGTTCCCATTAATTTTCCATTCGTATGTAAAATGGGCCCCACCCATGGTCGGGCTGCAACACTTGAGAAAATGTGAGCCCAATGTATAGTTAGCGACAATGGTTGCAGAACACCTCTTGTCAAATGGTTGGTTGAAGGAAACACATGCAGAAAACAACGTGTTCCCTCATCATAAAGGGTTTTCCTGCTATTTTGTCTTATTTTGCCTTCAATCAATTCCACGATTTTGCCAGTCATGTGGATGAACCATGTGGATTGAACTAAACATTTATCATATATCATATATCGTTTGTACAAGGTTTCCGGCTCAGAGTTGGTGTTTGGTGAAGAGTTGAACCAAGGCCCAGAACGTCCCGCTTTATTTGATGGTGCACTGTGAAAACTGGTTGTGTCTGACAACTAGGATGCCCCCATAATCCAGTACAGTCCCATGGTGTAACATTGCCATGAATGGGGCATACCCAGAGCCCAAAACTACAAACACGGACCAACCAAAGGTTGATCCACCAGCTTGGCAGCCTTTTTTGTTTACCTCCACCATGCATTTGTTGACATTTATTTAAGCCATGGTTACTGCTTTTATGTATAGTGACGTGCTAGCAGTAGGAATATTTATGATATTTTGGTATTTGGATTTATTCTAGCTGCATGGGGCTGTTTTTTTAGAACATAGCAGTTAACTGTATATAGAAATATATATGGAAGTTTGAAAATCTTGCTGCGATCATGACATATATTATGGTGCATGCAAAGCGAACTGTTCCTTTATAGTCAATGTGTTTCAAGCAAAATATACATATGACTATGTCGTTGATGTGCAAGCATTGTTGGCTATCAGCTTACAATATGTTAATATAATGTTCATATACTAAATAAATTTAAAATAGTAACTTGAAGATTTAATTATTGAAATTTATAATCAAATATAATCAAATATATTTATCTATCTATCTATCTACCTATCTACCTATCTACCTATCTACCTATCTATCTATCTATCTATCTAAAAATCTATTGTATATATATACAAAAAAATAAATTGTACATACATGAAATATAGTTGAGCAAATAAAGGACCGGATAACCCCACAAGTCAACATCTTCCAGTAGTGAGCAACAAATGATGTAGCGGGGCTGGGGAGAAAGGAAAAACAAAGGAGATGGTGGAGGATCGAGAAGTTTAAAAAAATGGCGTGCGACACCAGGTGGGTGCCACAAAGTGCCACACCTGCCACGCAAAAACAAGGTGGATGTCACCAAGTGCCACACCTGCCACGCAAAGTGGAGCGCGCCCCGGGCGACCCAGCGCGCCCAAGCGCGCCACCAGAGCCAGCCCGGTTCTCCAAGTACCACGCCTGCGATGTCACCAAGTGCCACACCTGCCACGCAAAACCAAGGTGGATGTCACCAAGTGCCACGCCCACGCAAAGAGGCACGGCGCCCCGGGCGACCCAGCGCGCCCAAGCGCGCCACCAGAGCCAGCCCAGTGCCCCAAGTGCCATGCCTGCCACGCGAAACGAAGGTGGGTGTCACCAAGTGCACCGCATGCCACGCAAAATGAAGTGAAAGATGGTGTGACAAAGATGGTGTGTGAAAGATGGTGAAAGTTGGTGTGTGAAAGATGGTGGGTGACAAAGTTGGTGTGTGAGAGATGGTGTGTATGAAAGATGGTGTGTGACAAAGTTGTGTGTGAAAGATGGTGTGACAAAGGTGGTGTGTGAAAGATGGTGAAAGGTGGCGTGTGACAAAGTTGTGTGTGTGAAAGATGGTCTGTGACAAAGATGGTGTGTGAGAGATGGTGAAAGTTGGTGTGTGAAAGATGGTGTGTGACAAAGTTGTGTGTGAAAGATGTGTGTCAAAGTTGTGTGTGAAAGATGGTGTGTGAAAGATGGTGTGTGACAAAGGACGGTGGTGTGAAAGCTGGTGTGTGACAAAGTTGTGTGTGAAAGATGGTTGTGAAAAAGTTGTCTGTGAAAGATGGTGTGTGACAAGGATGGGCGGAGGCGGGCGAGGCGGGCGAGGCGGGCGAGGCGGAGGAGGCGGGATACAGAATCAAAAACAAGAACCCCACACAAAGATGCGGGAGCAAAACGATTGTTTAAATGTTGGTTTCGTTTATTTGTCCATATATTCAATCTGATCCAACCCATTGCAGTTAGACCATTTGTTCAACACTGCCACTGTAGCAAGGAATAGATAGCAATATAATACATACATGCGGTTTATAATATTGATGTGCCAACATCGCTGGCTATCAGCTTTTAATGGGTGTACATATAAAACATGTATGCCATATATACTGTACATATTTAGACATTTTTTCTTTTATTATTTTATTACTATTTTTCTAATAGCTATTTATCTGTATAATAAAGATTCCTTTGCATATAAAACCGAGCATACATATATATATATTATAGATATGTGTGCATGTCAATAAAAACTATGGTTTTATGATATGACCAGTTGTTGCAGAGGCAATTTAATAATAAACAATATATTATGATGTATGTTTAAACAAATTCAAACTGCGTGGTTTACCAAGCTTGATTTTTCCATTCTAAGTCTATTCTAAGTGCGACCAAATCAGATTTCGATATTAGCTGGTAGCATCACGTTACTATAACACCCTTTCAAGAAATAAACATGTCAGTGGCATTTCAAAAATATATAAACATATACTATATTGCGTTTTGCTTTTAATATCTTCATCATTCTTCATCATTATTGATATATATATATATATATCTGCACAATCTATCAGGGTCTAAACATTAATATTCATTTATTCCCTCATATGGGGGTTAACCCCAGCAAGATGGTTTAGAATGGAAAAACGATCTATAAATGGATGATTTGGAGATACCAGTTAAGAAAACCCTCACATGATATCTTATTTTGAAACCTCCATATATCTTCAATATATTTATGAGTGATTACCACCATTAAAGAAAACCTCCATTTATTGATTCCTCCTTGAACCCGGTGAACCATGGTGAACCGGCCGGGCTCCAGCAACGCGGCGAAGGCACCGGCGGTGCCTGCCAGGTCCACGACATCCACCAGCTGTGCATGCACGGAGCCTGGGAGGCGGATGCGCTGAGCAATATTCATATTATCAAAGGAAGTTGGGAAGCAATCTTCCGAGTTACAGATGGCTTTTAATTATTCAAGTGGCTTTACATCAAACAATACAATACATCAGATAACAATACATCAATATATGACAAAGGGTGATGACGAAGGGTGATGACGAAGGGTGATGACGAAGGGTGGTGACTGAGGGAAGTGGTGACTGAGGGAAGTGGTGACTGAGGGAAGTGGTGACTGAGGAAAGTGAATGACGAAGGGTGATGACGAAGTGGATGGTGAGTTGGAGACACGAAAGTGATGACCCTAGGGCAGTGGTGACAAAGGGAAGTGGTGACCTAATTTGGGAAGCTTCTGTGTTCTGCAACGAGTGGTTGTTCATGTATGTGTAGTTCTATGCGCTTGTTGAATCTCTGGCTGCAGGTCTCAATGTAATGGCTGTATGATTGTTGCCATGTTCTGTTTCCATGTGCGTAGAGAGATGCGGGTTAGCCACGTGATGCTGCAAAACGCATTGTAATGGCTGCATGAATGTTGAAGCCGGAGCACGAAACCTTGTGTTTTTCCGTGTAAGTAAAGTAGCTGCAGGCGGTGTAAAGGGTACCTTGTGTGTGTGCGGCGGTCGTTCCGCGCGTACTCGGTTCCCCTTCTGTGTTCTGCAACGAGTGGTTGTTCATGTGTGCGTAGTTCTGTGCGCTTGTTGAATCTCTGGTTGCAGATCTCAATGTAATGGCTGTATGATTGTTGCCATGTTCTGTTTCCATGTGCGTAGAGAGATGCGGGTTAGCCACGTGATGCTGCAAAACGCATTGTAATGGCTACATCAAGGTTCCTCGCAATTTTAGTGTCTTTTGCAGCTGAGGGTCGTGAATCGTATTGGATTGGCTGCATCGAAGTTGCGATGGTGTGATTTGTCAATAGATTTTCTGCGGATAGTGGCTGCATCGTGATTTGTGCAAGCTTTGTAGTACAAAGTATAGTACTGGGAAGTACTCTGCGCAAGCTTTGTAGTACGAAGTAGTACTCCATGGGGAGTTACTTTGTGCAAGCTTTGTAGTACAAAGTAGTACTGGGAAGTGCTTTGTGCAGGCTTCGTAGTGCAAAGTATTTTGTAAAGGCTTTTCTGTGTAAACGCATCTGTGTCTCAAGCTTCTGTGTGCAGAAGCTTTCTGCGCCCAGTGTTTTTTGTGCAAGAGACTTCTCTCTGACAGTAAGAGCTTTCTGGCGTGCAGACAAGCTAAGAGGAGTTAAGAAGAACTTCGAGGAGATGAGAAGGGTTAATCAGTGCTCGGATGAGATGAAAACAGTTGAGAAGAATGTACTTAGATGACATGTGAGAAGAGATGGGATGAGATGAGAAGAGCTGAGATGAGGTGAGATAAGGTGCGAAGAGCTCACATGATTTGAGATGAGATGAAATGTGGAGTGCGAAGTGCAAGTGTGAAGTGTGAAGATCGGCGTGTGAAGAGCAAAGTGTGAAGAAGGTGTTCGCTTGGCGTTAGATGTTCTTGGACAACAGCAACGCAACAGGTTCGCACAAAGCACGCACGCGCGGGCCTGGTTGGCGCACGGCGCATGCAAGCTCTATAGATGAGAAAGGTCTTATAGTATAACCCTAAGGCAACTTCCGCCCATATATTAATATATACATATAAAAAATGTGTATATATATATATATATGTATCCACCATGACTATGTGTATATATATATATATATTAAGGGGGGGTTATCCTGGGTAGGAAAGATGTGCTGCAAGGCTCCAGGCGGAAAATGTGCAAAATCAATTTCGAAAAGTCGAAAAAGGAAAAGTCGAAAAGTGGAAAGGTGTATGTATGATTATGTATGAACTTCGAAAAGTGGAAAAAGTATTCTTTTTGACTTTTCACTTTTTGACTGTTTGAATTTTTGCCGGATGCCTTTCCAGCTGAACAAGCGCAGGCTAGAAGTACAAAACTTAAACCGTTGAGAGTCGAGAGGGACGCTGAAAAGTTGAAAAGTTGAAAGGTGAGAGGGAAGTCGAAAAGTCGAAAAGTCACACATTTTGAATTTTGACTGATATTTTTTTTCTCCAGGATGCCTTTCCAGCTGAACATCCGCAGCTACGAGTACAAAACTTAAACCGTTGAGAGTCGAGAGGGAAGAAGAAAAGCCGAAAAGTCGAAAGGTGAGAGGGAAGTCGAAAAGTCGACAAGTATACTTTTTGTCTTTTACAGATTTTGACTGAATTTTTCCAGGATGCCTTCCAGCTGAACATGCGCAGCTAAAAGTAAAGAACTTAAACCGTTGAGAGTCGAGAGGGAAGAAGAAAGCCGAAAAGCCGAAAAGTCAAAAAGGTGAGAGGGAATAGGAAAAAGTCTAAAAGTCTAAAAGTGGAAGACAAGTATACTTTTTGACTTTTTGAATTTTTGCCGGACATCCAATATTCCATAAATGCTGGATAATTGGATAATGGTGGTACCCCAAATCCTAGGAACATGAATGATAGAAAGGGGGTATCATTCTAGGAAACCTCCATATTATAAACACATTGTTTACTAATTAGAGGTATGCAATATATAAGGCCTATGCTACGTAAAGCAAAAAAACATATATCCACAAAATATATGGCCTTCTACGGTACAGTACCTCCATTTTAGGGTCCTGATTTTCCCATTGACATTGAAGGGAATACCATTGAAAAGGGGAAAATCACTATTTTGGGAACCCCCAATATTAAGAACCTGGGGTTTATATGGGGTTTATTAGGGTGAATACTCGCTGGTAATCAAACGTTGGCAATTGAACATCCATAATTTATGGATAGTTTTCCCATTTACACATCCATTGAGTGGGATGTTCCATTGTCACGTTTGATTACCAGATGGTAAACCTCCACTTTACTAATTCGGAGTGCCGTTTATTAATAAAGGGAAATATCATTATTTGGAAGCCTGATATAAACTGGGTGTTTATTAATCCGGGGTAAACATTACCCCCAGGATATGTAGGATCCTGTAATTTCGCTGCAATTCCAGGATTCAACATGATTCAATCGGAGACTCTCATTCAACCATCCAAGAGGCTATTCAATGGCAATGGTGAGTATCATCACCATAATAAACCCCCGGTCGTACCGCTCAAAAGGGTCCAGTCCTGGAAAAAAATGCCTTAAATCGTTTGGTCCACAACCTTTTGGAATTGATTTCCAAAGGGTACAACCCAACAGATTTAAGCCAACAACCAAGTTGCAATTTCCGGGGCAAACAAATTAAAATCCTGTTCCACAACCTTTATGTGGACTAAAATGTCTCCTGGCCCACCATTGCGCTGACACAACTCTTTCCTGGGTCATAACCTTTATGATGATACATGTGTACCTACCCCATTCAGATCGTCAAGTCGATTGAATTGGAAGATCACGACCTTTCAAAAACTGCTGAGGGTTTGGCATAAACACTTTTCTTGTCATATAATTCAAATCCTGGGTCACAGGGTTTCCACCGGCTCCATCATTTTTTTGCTCGCATGCTGTCAAGATCTTTCAAGACGGGGAGATGGATGACACTAGGCTTTGGAGGTCCAGAACTGTTTCTCTCTCTCTCTCTCTGTTGGAAATGACCAGAAATGATGTGTCCTCTCTACATGATTGTTGATCCCCGTCGGTACAAAAACGTGGGGTACAGTCCTAGAAAAAAATCGGTCTAAAATGATGACCCCTAACCTTTGAGAGAGGTTTTAGAGCTTTAAATTCCTGGCTCCTAACCTCTGAAGCCGAAATCTCACTTCCAACCACCTTTTTGAATTTTCTTTGCTAATTTCGTGGTGCCCAACGTCCAACATCCAATAAATTTACCCCTCTCATATCCAAGTAAAAAAAATATTTCCTGGATGCTTGCGTTGGTAACATGCCATATCTTCCCCCCCTCAATCAGCTCGCAGTTTTTCAGAGTCCACGGCTTCACGAGTGCGGTCCGGCAGATGCCCACGGCAATGCACAACCCTTTTGCATGGACAAATGTATCTTCAGGAAAAAACGCCTGTTTTGCAATTTGGCCACACGTTGGAACAAAATTCTTCAATTCGTCCCATCATTTCCTATCTATGGATGGTTGACCTGGTGATAAGATTTTTTTTCCTGTGGGGTCAGCCTTTGAAGATCATCCACAAGAATTCGGCCAAAAAAAGGTCCAGCCCCTTGAATTTTATTTTTGACACGTGCGCCTCGGCCTCTTGAAGTCACCTTTTTTGGTTGGTGAAGCTGAACATATGTGGTTGTACCCTTTTGCAAGGACAAATGCGTTTTCAGCAAAAAACATATGTTTTGTAATTTGGGCGCGCGTTGACACAAAATTCTTGAATTCGTCCCATCATGTCCTATCTGTGGGTGATTGGCCTGGTGATGCGACTTTTTTCCTGTGGGGCCAACCTTTGAAGATCATCCGCAAGTATTCAGTCAAAAAAGGTCCAGCCCCTTGAATTTTATTTTTGACACGTGCGCCTCGGCCTCTTGAAGTCACCTTTTTTGGTTGGTGAAGCTGAACATATGTGGTTGTACCCCTTTTGCAAGGACAAATGTATTTTCAGAAAAAAAAGCCTGTTTTGCAATTTGGGCGCGTTGACACAAAATTCTTGAATTTGTCCCGTCATGTCCTATCTGTGGATGATTGGCCTGGAGATGCGATTTTTTTCCTGTGGGGTCAGCCTTTGAAGATTATCCCGCAAGTATTCAGTCAAAAAAAGGTCCAGCCCCTTGGATTTTATTTTTGACACCTGCGCCTCGGCCTCTTCAAGTCACTTTTTTGGTTGGTGAAGCTGAACATATGTGGTTGTACCCTTTTGCAAGGACAACTGTATTTTCAGAAAAAAAACATGTGTTTTGCAATTTGGGCGCGCGTTGACACAAAATTCTTGAATTCGTCCCATCATGTCCTATCTGTGGATGATTGGCCTGGTGATGCGACTTTTTTCCTGTGGGGCCAACCTTTGAAGATCATCCGCAAGTATTCAGTCAAAAAAGGTCCAGCCCCTTGGATTTTATTTTTGACCCCTGCGCCTTGGCCTCTTGAAGTCACTTTTTTTGGTTGGTGAAGGTGAACATATGTGTTTGTACCCTTTTGCAAAGTCATGTAAAGACTCATACCCCCTCAAGTAATCATGGTACATTTTTTCCTGGGGTTTGACATTTAGATATGTTCTAGTAAACTCCCATTTGATCCATCCACCTTCAAATTCCTGGCTACTAACCTTGGGAATTCTACAAACTTACCCATTATCAGAGTCATTCATGATTGATTTCCTGATGCCTTACATACACAGACTGATAGATCAACCCCCCCTCAATCACAACAGACAGAAATTGATTTCCTGTCACTGTACGTCAGGAAGCTTTCAGGAAAAAAAATCTGGGCCTTTTTTGGTATGATATTTTATTCCTGGCCCCATATCATGCCCCGGGACCCTCACCCACTGTCTGCTAGATTTTGGAAAATAGTGTTTTTTAAAAAGCGTACTGAACCCCCAGGAAAAAAAACTGGTAGTACAGAGGAGGATATTGTTGAAGAAAACCATACGGAGTTCATAACTGTTCATAATTAAAATCCAGTGAAGCTATCGGATTCAACCTTTTTACAAACCACTGAAATGCATTAAAAAGTATGATCACAACCTTTATGTAGATCCTACCCTCTCCTGTTCGACAGATTGGCCCAGAGATTTTTTTCCTGTACCCCAACCTTGTTTGGAAAACCATGCAATCCTGGCAAGCAAATCTTCAAAACATATAAAATCCTGTGGTACAACCTTATGTTACTAATCCTGCTTTCCTGGCTCCAACATTTGTTTTCCTGAACCCCAACCTTGCGACATCCATTTTTTGATGATTTTTACCTGACTTGGCATTTTTATTCGCCGAAGTGGAGTCACAGGAAAAAAAATTACCGGTACAACGGGGGCTCATAATAATATATAACAATATGATAATGAGGAATGCAATTGCTGTGATTTTCTGACAATTATCGTTAATCCCTTCCCCCTATTACTAGACCCCCCCGAATAATAAAACCCAGGGTCCATCTCCAATTTCGGAAAATTTCAGGTTGGCCAATTTGACTTTTAATTGATCCCCTTTAGAAACAATTAAAAAATAAAGCTACTATTTCTTGGTTTCACCCCCTGATAAGAAAAACTAGTCAACCCCGGGGTGTTTTTTATTAGGGTCCGTCCGAAACTTTTAGGTTTGTTTTTAATTTTATTAAGGGTTTAAATTGATCATAATTAGGGTCTGCTTCGAAATCCAATTTTTGGCAAAATTTTACTTGCGTTATAAAAGGAATTTAATTGATTTAAAAATCGAAAATATTAGGTGTTTTAATTTATTATTAAGGTCCTTTTCGAAATCTAATTTTTGGCAATATGTTACTTCCTTTATAAAAGGAACTTCATTGATTTTGAAATCGAAAAAAATAGTTTTTTTAATTAAGAGTTTTGATTTATTATTACGGTCCGCTTCGAAATCCAATTTTTGGCAATATTTTACTTGCGTTATAAAAGGAATTTAATTGATTTTAAAATCGAAAATCTTGGTTTTTTGATTAACGATTTTAATTTATTATTAGGGTCCTTTTCGAAATACAATTTTTGGCAATATTTTACTATTTTTACTTGCGTTATAGAAGGAATTTAATTGATTTTGAAATCGAAAATATTAGTTTTTTATGTTTTTGAAATTACGGGTTTCAATTTATTATTAGGGTCCACTTCAAAATCCACATTTGGGCAGTATTTTGCTTGCGTTGCAGAAGCAAATTCAATTGATTTTGATTTCGTTTTTTTCTTTAAAAAAAAAGTTTTTTTTAATTATTAGGGTCCACTTCGAAATCCGATTTTTGGCAATATTTTACTTGCGTGATAAAAGGAAATTCAATTGATTTTGAAATCGAGCAAATAGTTTTTAAATTAAGGTGTTAAAATTATTATTAAGGTTCATTTCGAAATCCAATTGTTGGCAATATTTTACTTGCGTTACAACAGGAAATCTAGTTGGTTTTATAAAAATTGATCTTTTTTTAATTAAACGTTTAAATTCATTACTACTAGTAGGGTCCGCTTTGGTTCTCTAATAATAAATACCCTCCTATTATATATTTAATAAAAACTACCTGAAGTGTTTATTATTTGGGGATTAGGGCGAGAGGATTAATTATTACATATTATTACCTTAACCATCACTATACGTTAATGTTTATCAACATGTTGATCTATAGATGGTTTATGATGGTTGATGGTTTAACTTGACATCACCCATTTTCTCGACCATCCCAGCCATCCCTTCTCGCCCAGTCGTTGGTGCCGAGCATCCGCTGTCGCCCGCGCCATTGGAACCCCAAGAGATCACAGTGCCATCTGCACGGATGCCTCTGTTTCACTGGAATATCATAGGATTTCATGCTCTAACATGTTTTTGCTGTGTGTGTGACAAATTGGTTTGTCCAAAAATTGGGCGTACCCGCATTCCCCAATTTGTGGCTATACTCATGGGACATGCCCAGATGTCCCAAAAGCGGGTTGCTTGGATGGGCATCCCACTTGAAAAAGGACAGCCATGGTTGTACGTCATTCAAAAATTACCAAAAAATACCTAGCACCTAGTACCCGCCAGTATCCTCTGGTATATATACACATATATAATCAAATTTGGCAATGGACAACTATGAATTGACAATCAAAACCAGCCATTTGTAGGGGATGTCCAACAGATGTTTGATTGCCATACAGGGTGTATCCAAAATGGGTGTTGCCACAACGAACAGTTCGAATCCCAGGCCTCAGGTCAACGGCAGCCCAAAAAAGCCGGATTCTGTTTCAGCAATCAAAAGCAGGAAAAGAAACAAACCTCCCTATCAGCCTATCATAACCCGGTATGGCTCCTAGAAATGCACCTCCAAAATGAAAAGAATCAATAATTCAATACTCACCAAGGGTTTCTGGAGCGAAGCTCATAAATCTGATCCACTGCACCTTCGGATAAATTTGGGGCTGCCAAAACCACATGAATGCCTTACCCCAAACCGGTCATCATGGACCTCCCTTCATACAAGGTAGCCCCCCAGTTAAAGTTGGTTTACAGTCCACATTAACTATAGTATACTATAGTTACATTTATCTACCAGAAACAAAAATTATTGGAGTTCCAAGACAACTTGGCTATCGTTTGGGGGCCCCACCTTGTACACAACAAGTGCGGCCATGAAGCATGCGAAGGCGTGTGCCCGACGGTTGGAGACGATGCGAGGACGACGGACCATGGCATGTAGCGTTTCATCATCCGCAAGGCCGCAGTCGTCAAGAGAGCCTCTGGTCCTGAGTTGGGGTATATAACTTTCACATCTGGGTAAATTAAGCAATTTCACTAGTAAAATAGAAAACTATTTTGGGATAGTTACCCATTGCTATAACCATCTCTCAGTGAGGTCGAAGTGAGATCGTTACAACTTACCCAAATACATATACCTGCGCTAAAACCCACCTACAACTGGGCATAGCCATGTATAGGCTATATGCTTATTAGCCAACCACTTTCTAAGCGGGACGTACATCTAAGTAGATGGGACTGGGCAAAAAAAACGGCTACCTGTCTTCCATGTCAAACACAGCTGGAATAGCTGGATGCTCATCCCCCAATTCGGATGGAGAAAATCATAGGTATGGACTCTTGACAGATTCCCCATATGCATTTAACTGTTGGAAATATGGAATCCATAATAGAGTAAAAATAAAGAAATGCCATAAGGGGATGATAATACGGTCAATCATGTTTTTTTCTCTGAAAAGTTTGAATACAGTAAAAATACGTAAAAACATTGTAAAATATAGGAAGACATGCGATCGGCGTCAAAACTAACATTAGCCAATTCCAACAGCAATATTGACACAATGACACCAGCAACCAGAACAACACCGCCTTGCTAACGACTGGGGTTCCATTTTTTTTGGAGAATCACTGGTTGAACTTGATGCCATAAGGTTGCAAACTTAAAATACAACCCCAGGACCCAACCGATTTGGGAATTTTGGGATCATGGTACACCATCTCGAACAGATCCAAAGGGTATATGAATATTGGTATATCCAATGATAAACCCATGTAAAAATGGGCTTCTGAATTCATCATTGGTAATTTATACCGCAGGGACTGAGCCAAGCATCAGAATCTCGCCCTTTCCATTGATCAATTTGCAAAATCCAATGTCCAACTTCTCCTGAAGCCACCCGATTCATGGCGATACCGCTGGCTGCATGGATCATGGCATACCCTTCGGCGTCAAACATGGAACATCCTTGAACTAAATAGAGGTTTTTAATGGGAGAATCATCTATAAATGGTGAATTGTCCGTTGCAACAATTGGTTACCAAAGGGTATACCGAACTGAATGGATGAATTTTCTGTTAGTTTCAACGGAGAAGAACACATTTAGTTACATCTAGATCCGTGCCCTGTTTGAAATGCTTTGTGTGATCCCCCTATAATGGAGGAAAACAAAAAACATTCTGACATGACACGTATTTACATCCTGACATCTACTCAAACATAAATTCTGACACATGTTAGAACATCTGCTAACATATTCCGACATCCATGCTGACATTTATCCTGCACAGCTTGGGACGTATCTTGTTACAAATCTCTGTCGAGGGCAAAACTTGATGTTGCTTAATAAATTTGAAAACAACACTAAACCATGCGGAAAACCTCACCACTGGAATTTGCGCCGTGGTGGAGGGGCAGCCCTTGCGCCAGGATTTCGATTTGGCGCCCGTCGTTGGTGGGCACAGCCAGATTCATTTGGTGGAGGGGCCGAGAGGCACGTTGGTCCGGACCGTGGCCCCAGCTTCTCCGCAGACGCGCGCCCAGATGCGTTCGAGCGGCACCACGCGCGCCCAAGGGCAGTCGGAGAAGCCGGAGGAGGATGGTGCGGAAGTGCAAATTTTCAAGGCTGTAGGCGCAGTGGTGATGGCGCGTGCAGCGTGGGCGCCGGTTCGCTCTGAAGGGTCGAGAATGGCGCTTCGAACTCCGCCTGCTCGGTGGCAGCCCCGGCATGCAGCCCGCTGCCAGCCGTGTGTGACCTCGCCTGCTTCCCGGTGGGGTGGTGGGCCGGGGGCCGCGCCAACGCAAAGGGCGTCCCATTGTGGGGTGTGGAACCCACGCGCCTGCAAGGTGGCGGCAGCGTCGACGGCAGCTTGAATGCTGTTGGGGCGCTGGGTTGCTTTGCCCGCGAGCAGCTGGCATGGACGTCTGTCTGGACATCGAATCTCTGAAACATATTCTGACATGTTCTATATATTTCTATAGAAATCTATGGAACATGTCAGAATATGTTTCAGAGATTCGATAATGATTTCTATAGCTTGAAACCATACTCACACGCACACTTCCGAGAAGCATAAAAATATGACCTTGATTATATAATCTCAATCTCATCTTTAAACAACTATCTTGAGAATGATATATACTGCGTCCCCACATCAAAGTCGCAAAGCAAACCCATTTTGACCAACTAACAATTCACCAGCCAGTTTAATCACTCGTACTGAGGTAAAAGGATATGCACACCTCATGTTTGATGAGAAAAACCATCAGTTCTCGCCTAAGTACTGGTAGCCCTCACCGCTGTCGGAGCCACCACCTTAGGTGCTGTCCGCGTCCTGCGCATGCTGCCGCAAGGTCTTGACGCTCCAATGCCCTTGGGCTTCGATGCTGGCAGTAAGGCCACTGAGCAAAGCCACGTGGAGCCGCAGATTGCTGGGATCCGAGGCAGGCATGATGCGGAGATGCGGAGCAGTGCCAAAGAAAAAAAAACAAAGGAAAACCAACACAATGAAAAACAAAGGATGATCCAATGAATGGTTTCCGGGCATGGGTGGTTAGTCACTGCTTTTAGAATTCCCGACGCGCTGTTCTTCTCTGCCACAAAATTCCATTGTTGAGACACACGCACAAACACAGAATATATAAATACACATACATCGTCATATAGTATGTATTATATTCACTATATAATATAACTTTATGTAACTTTATCGTCATATAAATGGCAGAATTCACTACATGCACTGAGAAATTTGTGATAATGCCTGAAGGCGCTCCTTGCTGTCCCGAGCCACTGAGGTTGAGCGTGGTCGCAATCAAATAAACAAGTTTTGAACTCGAAATAATAACCGGACCATATTTTCGCATTGGATTTGCATTTAGGCATGACAAAGCAACGGTCAGGAAGGAATGTCCTCCGAATGGCCCTCAGCCACCATGGTGTGTTGCGTGTGCGCGCGTGTGTGTGTGTGTGTGCCCCACTCATTGCCAAGGTGGACCCTGAAAAGCAGCATCTGGGTTTGTCTGAAATAGTGTATGCCAAAATCTATTGGTTCATAATTGTTGTCCACAGTTGTGACGGGCAAATATGAATAGATTGGTTTCAGGGAACATCTTCACTAAACCTCTTGTTGTTATAATGAACATGATGCTTTCCTGCCTTTGTTTCTTTCATCCGGCTCTTGGATTTGGATTTGTTGGTTCTAAAACAATAAAATGTTCTTTCTAGAACCATCCATAAACATCCACAAACCATGGTTCTCGGATAAATCATCTCCTTTTTCACCAACAACCCTCAACAGAATCCCTGTGGACCCCGAACCGATTTCTCCACCAGTACAGGGGCAGACCTGGAAACAGGTAGATCCAATACAAAATGCATGGGTCAGCAATACTGACATGGGGGCATGTAGCCAACAACAACCAAAAATATCCAAATATATATATATATATATATTTATACATATTCGCACATATATAATATAAAACCTTGATGCCTTGATGTGCATATATCAAATGAAATTACACATGTATACAAATATATATATATATATACACATAATTTTCCTAGGGAGGCATTGCCACTTGAAAAAGTAAGTACATTCCTTTGGTAGGAAGTTTATGGCAGATTGCGACTGCTGCATGAAGAAAGAACATGAAACTCGAACTGCCCAATTCGCTTTCACCGTTTACCCAGAAAAACGAATCCCATCAATGTCTTGCATGGGCGTGTGGAACAACGACCAACAATTTAGATTCACGTCTCAAAATCACAAGACATTGTATAGATGCCATTGGCTTAGAACATTCCGCTTCTTAGCCAACTTTGTCGGCCCCATTCTCGCTTCCAGCCCACATTGCTGTTGTTCGAAACCATAGCTATCATCCAATTGGAAGAGAAGAGGGTTGTATGCCACAGCTGGAAAGCTTACTACCCGCTGCTCCGAGCTACTAACCAAGTCTGTTTTGGGGTTCCCGGCATCTTGCACGGAGCGTCCTTCTGCCAAATTGGACGGGTTTGGGTCCATATATACATTAAAAGGACGTATATACAGATACGTGCGCATGCATCAAATTAATATATATATATACAGTATATATACAGTATTTATACAGTATATATACAATATATATATAATAAATACACTTCTCTGGGCGGAAACAATATCAGCAAAAGCAGCCTGTCAAGGGGGTTGCAGGCCATCCCGCCCAACATCCATGGCAAAATACCTACGACATTCAACCGGGAAGGACTACCAGACTACCAATCCGAAATGGGGCACACCTACATGGTGTGTAATATGTGTGTATATTCAAAATAATTAAGTTTGATTACACTTACATATAGATATCACATTGTGAATATGCACGTGTATGGATGCGTCTCTGTCTGTATATATAAATATACAGTATATATATAATATAAAAATTATATTTCTCTCTCTCTCTCTCTCTTCATCGCCATCAGGTCTCCCTGCCCAAGCTGTGCCGGGGCCGAGATGAAATTGGGAAACGGAATGGTCGAACCAGATATTTAAGAGAGACAGTCATGCAGCTGTACATCTCAAAGCGCACTCTCACGAGGCATGTATATTATATATATAACTATTTTTAATATATATATATATTAATATGTGCACAGATGCAGTGCATGATAATGTATGAAGGGATCATTCGTACTTCAAATAAATACATATAGATTTACCGGGTAATGCAGAAATGCATCATCATATATATAATATATATATACACACCATAAAAAAAAATATATATCATGTCCATGTCAATATATATATATAATGCAGCCCCCTCACATA